CATCCACATGAAGAGAGGCCCGAAAGACGTCCGAAGTCGGACATCTAGGGTCGGCTCCGATCTTGTCTATGCAGGTTGCGCTGGCTGTCCAAATTTCCGAACCCTCGAGCCCAAGCCCTTGGCCTGCGGCTCGGCTCGGGGCTTGGACTCCATCGCTCGGTTCAGGGCTTCGCCAGCGGCCTGCACATGATGCGTGATGTGTCTGTTGAACTGTAATGCTAGCTCGCTTTTTCGCCTGGCTTTCAACCTGTTCTCTCTGGGCCTCAGATCTCAAACTACAAGTAGTTTCAGTGACTCAAACTTTCGACTACCTTGCCACCGCCCTCGGCGCTTGTTCATATTCATACAAAGCCCCACACACACGGCCTCGAGTTTTCTGGACATGAACTGCTACAGCTTTGATGCACTCTTGCCTGAGCTGTCCGAGCTATCCCGAACCGAAGACAAGATAGGCTCTGCAGGTTCCGATGCTTCAGTTGGCGGAGCAGTGAGCCATGCGGAGACAGCAAAGCCGACACCCTGAAGCGACTGCCCTTGCAACAAGCGGAAAAATGCTGCGATTCAAGTTCCCCTTTCTCCCTTCCCACCTTCAGTGCGAAGTTGATCGAACCGCCACAGCCCAGATTGGCGTCGCTTGGTCCGAAGTCACCGGTCTCCTCAGGATGACTTGCAGTGAGAGCGATGGCCGGCTCCCACTCCGGCTCCGCATCTCGCAGATATCTACAGCACCACAATGTCTCCGAGGTGCATGTCCAGCCAATTCATGTGCAGATTCGAACAAGTGCGAATCTGTGTGCTCGTGCTGCTATAGTGAAAAACAGAATCGGGAATACATGAGTTGTTCCACGTGCGCAAGGTCCGAGTTAGTGCGCACATGTTCCTAGCTCATGAGGGTTCGAAAGCAAGATAAAGGGCCAAGCCTCACAGTGTAAGTCCAGGTCAGTCAAGCTCGTTTGAAATATGCCACTGGCAGTCAGGCTTTTCAGACCGGAAGGCTTACTGTGGGAATGTTACCTTATCATTTATCCGGCACAGGTTTCACCGATGGAATACGGGTCCAGCCTGCTGCTGTAAGCCGCAAACTTTCACTCAGGACTGGAATGGACTGGGTTAACACCCTCCAGTCTACAGCCGTCCACGACTCGAACACAAAGCATTGTGAGGGCCCGGGTGCGGCAGTGGTTTTTGCAGTAAAACTGAGCACGCATCCCGACCGAGCAAGACAGACTAGCAAAGCATTGAACACAGCTGCAACATGCAAAGGGCGAAGGTCAACTTGAGGAGCGGTGCATTTACACGGACAAACCCATCCTGAAGTTACGATCAGATCGAATATCCATGTGTTGTCCGACCCCCGAGCCTCAGCAAGGTATGGAATGTCTGCGCCAAGGCACGAAGTATTTTGATGAGTCCCTGCCACCTCCACAAGCAGTGAGACTTAAGAACTTCCACTTTCCTGACGGTTACCTCAAAGCTTCCTTGTGTCTGCACTGTCCCGCAGCTACTAGCACGTTTCGTGAAATCTGTGCAAGGCTTGGGGATTTGGGTCCGTCTGCCGGTACTGGCTCGTCAACCATTCCGGAACAAAGGCCGAGGTACTGTTGACGTGATACGCGCCCGATGAACTGTCGAAGCTTTGCCTCAACTAGGTCAAACCCCACCCTCTTTGCAATGGCCACGTAAACTTACATTGCAGGCACCACGCACGCACATGTCTTTGCATCTTTTGGATTTGGAGAAAAATCAGCCTGCCAATTTGCTCGAGGGGCGGCAGGCAGGATTGAGGTAGCTGATGAGGCTGCGGCGGGAGCTGAGTGGGATCATGAGGCTGATATTGCTGAAAACTCTGCATCCGCATCTGCTGAATCATCTGCAGCCTCGGTTTTATTGCGTTGATCTGCTGCTGCTACTGATAATGCGGGTCATCAATGGAAGAGGCTGAGCACGCTCTCGTAACAGGAGAGGTTCTCTTACCATTCCACAACCATTCCTCATGAAGTCTTGTGAAGATTACATAGCAGAGGTTGCGATTCAAAACTATGCCATCCTAAGCCCAGAGGCTGCAACCGCTGTTCGTAATCGAACTGCTGGACTTCCGTCGGCCATGGTCCGGCAACAGGCCAGGGCTCCTCAGCAAAGGCCAGGAATACTGTTCAAGGGCTAGCAGTGAGCAGTCGATTGGGAACATGAAACAAACTCTGGAATAAGTAGTGCTCTTGTAGGGTGTCTTCTTGGCGCCTACTGTACTGTGCTTTCCTTGGCCACTGCCCGTGGGGTTTATGTTGGAGGAAAACCGAAGACTTAGCTGCTCCCGTCCAAGCTTTGTAGAATGCATGCGAAACCCGCACGCACGATAATTGACTGCAGCCTCCAAGAGCAGTGCAAACGACTTGTCCGTATCTTTCGTGTACTAAGCCGAACAGAAGAGAAATCTATTGTGTCATTCCAATCCCACCCTGCAAACCGACTGACACGGGACGATGTGCTGCAATACCACTGAGCACGGATCTACGTCCCAGGACTGACTGCTACTATACAACTTCGAACACATCAGATGGAGAAAGAAAGAGAGAGAGAGAGAGAGAGAGAGAGAGAGAGAAAGAGAGAGAGTGTGTGTGTGTGTGCGCGCCTAATGCCTGGGGCAAAGGGAAGAACTTTATCGAAAGTAAATTTGAAAACGAAAGTTCGCATCAACACCTGATCCGATAGCATCTAAGTGGCATATGGCATGAGTCTCGGACATACGGACGTAAAGCAAACGATTCTACCAGGGTGTGGCTTTACTTGGCCAGCTCTTAAGGCTTTTGTCACCAGCACGCTTCGTTGGCCCGAAAGTCAAATTTGCCGACGCAGCTTCAGGCTGCTGGTTTGAGCAGACCCGAACAAGTAGCCAGAAACAACTATATCATAGAGCACGAAGCACAAAAGTGGAACCCAAACAAGCTGCACAGTGCAGTTTAGCGGCTGTGTGCGAGGGCGCTGTCATTGCAGGCATCTGTGCGTCCTGCATGCTCGAAACTCGGAAAAGGAAGCGGCTGCAAGCAGTCCATTGAGCTGTGAAACCGAACTCCGGGTTCCGACCTGCAAAGTCAGACACCGAAGCTTCTCTTATCGCTAAGAGGCTAAGACGACATGTCCTCGACGGAGCCCGGCTCAAAGCACTACCAACAACCCACAACTCATATAAATTATGGAAAGCTCGGACACATCGCTCTGTAATATCTGACGCTCCACCGCGAAGTCAATGTCCGCAAACCTAGATGCAAGCCACAGCGGGTACCTCGGCCTCTTCGTGTTGCACTTCTTCGGCAAAAGGCCACTGTGGCGTCTCCGGGCGTGCATCCTGTGGTGGGTCCCGATTAGGTACTAAACCGATGAGGTGCTTATCTGGGCACAGGCAGCGAGGAAACGAATCTCATGTCTTCTTTGCTGAACAGATGATTTGCTGGACTTTCACGGGAGTCAGACTACTAGCTTTTGCTAGTGACTTTTTAATTTTGGTCCAAGGTTTTAGAGATTATTCATAGTGTTGTGCGGCTTTGCATTGCTTCCTTTCGTTTTTCCATGCAACTTCCGGACGTTCCTGGATCTTTACCTCAGCTGGCAAAGAACAATAACCCTACTTGTCTCGTGCATGTTGGCTTGAATCAAGCTCATCTGGGAGCAGTAGCTTCTGGCACGATTTTTCAGATGCAACCTAGTGAGGGTTTTACCATGACTCACCACAATTCCCACCAACTTCCTGGAGATGGTCGATTGTGTCATGAGCGTACCATCCAAACACAGAGCAGTGCTCAGAGCAGTCTCCACTCGGGGCAGGGAAGCCAAGAAGGCCTCCAACTCTTCCCGGATATCTGCTGAGCCAGTGGGATCCTGCGCTGAGATTGGGACGCTGCAGCCAGGCTCGAGCTTCGGGCAGCTGTGGGTGATTCGACAGGCCCTCAGGCTGACACATGCTGACACATGACCGGGCAACAAGCCAGCCTTTGGCACGTGCAGGGCTTTGGTATAACAAGCGCGCATCACATGCAGTCGACATCACGTAACGTCCATCCTCGGAATCCTCAGCTGCTTCCACGTTCGGGAAGGGCGTCTGTGGCGCACCCTCTTTGTGTGGTTCCTGCAGGGGACGAACGCCTATGCCGGTACGTCTACAACATGCATTGGGTAGTCCGCAAGCGAGCTGAAAGAGGCCCGTCCACTAAAACCGATGCTTTTTTGCTCGAACCCACTCCTTGGGCGGCTTCGACTGCAAAGCGGCAGCGTGGCTAGGTGGGAGGTAATAGATAGCAGTCCTCCTGAAGGCTGGGCTGGACTGCATAACTTTTCCGCAAACATCGGCTGCCATCTGACGCCATTCCGGCAGATTTAGGAGCGAACATCGAGGCACGATGTGTGGCTTTGTAACATTTGTTAGCATTACTTGTATACATGCGTTCCAGAGACCAACATCCACAAAGGAGTCATGGTCCATTAAGTGCAGATGCCTCCTGGGAAACCTTCCCTGCTGAAAGCTTCCATCTGTGATGAACGAGCCCTCGCAAACATCAGTTGAGCTCCCAGAAGGCGCGCGCAAGCACACGGGCACCAGCCCTGGTGCTGGGGATGTCGGAAGAGCAGCCGCCATGATACAAAGGAGGTGATGGCCTGTAACTTTGTGATAACTTGCGACACTTGAGGGAGTCTCAGTGTGCGTGTTTGGGTGTATATGTGGGCGCGTGCAGGTGAGCGCCGAAAGCAAGTTGCGGTTCGGCTGAGTTATATAGAACATAGAAGGTCTCAGGACCACTGAGAGAGGTACTTTCATTGCATGTGCGAGACTGAATCAGATAAAGTGGTTCCGTTTCAGGACTTCCAACCTCACATAGCCTCGCTTCGATGCTCGCGGCCCGGGCGATGTGCAATGCATGTTGTCCATACAGCACCCTTTGAAATGCTGCTCTTCGTGAGCTGGTGCATTTAGTCAGAGTGTCTTGATCGGTGCGCAGTGAGGCAGCCACTCCAGGCCACGAGACTGTCTCGTTGGCAGCTGGAACCTTAGTTGCAATGAGACTCAGTCTTGCTTCGGCTGTCCAGCTGCCACAACGGTACTCGTTCATCGAAGTGGCCATTCTTCCATCATCTGCCGTGCCTGGGAGCACTGGTGCAACTGGCTGTGGTCCCGATGCTAAAGCTTACACGAACCTCAGCTCCAAACGATAGGCGTATTCCGAACCACCATGAAATGGTCGGAGATGTTGACGTTGACACGCCTGTTGTTGCATTGAACGTCTTCGCGGGATTTAGCTCGACTCCGTTTTGCTGAGTGCCGTGCGGGACAAACTCACCCTCTTTTGCGGCCTCCCCTGGCAGATGATGGTAAAGTTACGTCCCATGTCGAAAGGCAGCCATCTCAAGCAGGTCAAAAATCGTCTTCTTGTGCAAATTCAGTTGAGCTCCCCGCGTGACAGTGCCGAGGCGAAGAAGAACAATCTCTCAGGAGCGTCGTCGCCTCAAGCACATGCCCTTTATTTCTCTCCCCTGTGCTCTTCCGACTGGGCACAGCTCCGCTGTATCACCTCCTACATGGCGTCAACAACGGATTCCGCTGAGCCAGCGGCATCATGTTGCGGCCGATATCCGTGTAGCAAATTTCGGAAGGAGCAAGAATAACACGCCGTCATGCTGCAAAGGGGGAAGCAGTTCATGAGCCTAGCCCAACTGCGCATCTATAGGAATTCCTACTACAATTATGCGGACGGCCGGAGCCCGGGTGACCCTGCAATGCTTGAGGCAACTTTTTTCTGCTGCGTGCAAACACGAAACTCCGCGTGCATGATGTCGACGTCGGTACTGGCAGAATGGCAGGACAGTGCAAGAATGCGCTGGCGACCGGATGATGTCTGCGGAACCATAGCTCCATGTTGGCCAACCCACATAATTACGACTGACATACAAGTAATGGACCGTACATGTTCTAAGATTTTACAAGTAAACTAAAAATCCTGTATTGCAGAAAGGCTGTCAACATTGCTTCCGCACCGATACCTGTAGCAGCTCCGCTTCTGCACTCTGCTGGCGGTATGGCCAACCACGGGTGAGACAACAAGGCCGTTCGCCGCAGCAAACTATTTCCAGTGGCACGAGGCACTTCCCGTTGGCCACCTTCCATGGCACAGCTGGCAGGATCCGTGGCCCAGCTTCTCGATGCTTTGCATTCACGGCCTAGCCAGAAGCATCTCATGCAACAACCAGTCTGACTTCCTAAGATAATCAGCGCAACCCTTCAGCCTGTGGTCTGCTCTCTGACCAAGATACTCGGGAAGTCGAAATTGTTGTAATCTACTTGTCAGGACCATGAACACCAAACCGAAAGCCTCTCCTTAACTCGCCACCTCATGACTCGCTGCTTTTCGCGCGCCGCAGCTCCGTGGCCTGTGCAAATCGGGAGACTTCCACCACTAGCGAACTGAACCAGATCGGGTAGAAGTTGGCTTACAACTCGTCGGGGTTGTATAATAACACCGTATAAAAATCCTTATCTCTGAGTGTTGTTATCGCTTTAGTTTCTTCCTATCGTTATTCCACCGAAAAACATCAAAACCGTGACCTCTTGGATTGAACGCTCGAGCATGCAAGGGCTTCACATGTCGGGATCAATGGACTGCGGGTCGGGATTTGGTCTTGTTTCTTCTTCCGAAGGAGTTGCAGTTGAGAGAGCTTCCTGCCACGCTCTCGCACAAACCTGCCGAAGTATGCGCAGTCACACATGCAATTCCCACTTCCCACTCCACCCCCCGAATGTCCACATCGTCGACTTCCGTCCCTGCTCCTTGGACACCGCCGTCGTAGAGAAGGTGCTTTGGAACCCCAGCGACAGCAAATGATGTCCATAGGTCTAAGCTCGCGGTCCCTCTATCAATTCAGGGCCTGACCTGGGAGCCCCTGTGTTCGCGACTGGTTTCTGGGTTCGGTATGCCAAGCTTCCGCTGTTCGCATCCCAAGCCCTATGCCAGCGGATCCCAAGAAGCCTGTGGCTGGCCCCGGTAGTTCGGGTACACGCTGAAGGTGACCAAGTCCTAAGTCAACTATAAAACAACAACTCAATCAATAGGCAGGCGCCGCACACGATTCATGCCACAAAGAAAACGGCCACAAAGAGGTTTTGGAAAGTCTCTGCCACTCAAGAGTGTGCAGTCTTTGTGGCAAGGCCGCCGCCCCTGCATCGCTTCGCGCACGCATCTGATTCGCGAAACTGCTCCAACAACGCTTCCCGGAAGTGCTGCTTCAAAGGTGCAGACATGCACTTTATCAGCACAACGGGAGCGACAACGACCTCTTGTTGCTCAGGAATCGGGTCGAGGAGTGAAAAACAGATGACCCCTTCGACCCCGAACGACTCTCACCTAAGGAGAAACCGAACACCATCGCTCCCCGAGCTCAAACAGTGTGTCCAGGTAGGAGCAAATCTTCACAAATCATGGCCGATGGCCTGGGCCATACATGATCACGGAATAGAGGGTGGACAGCACGTCCGACAGCCGTGCGCTGTGGTGCAGATCTCTGGCAGGAAACGAGCCCCCCACACGAGACCAACCGAGCCGAATCGTGAATCCAGCGGTCATGCTTCCGGAACATGATCCAGTCTCTTTCCGAAGGGGCACTGCTACCCGTGGATGTGCAATAGCAGCAGCAAGTCTCAAACTCTTAAACCTTTTGGACCTTCTCACCTTCCTCCCATATATGCGGTTCAAGGGTCTCCTCGCCTGAAGTGGCGCTTCTGATTCTGGTGCAGAAAGACATCCAGGTCTTTGAATCTTCTCTTCAACTCTTCATTCCTCCGTCCATATCACTTCCGCCGATTGGTGTGAACAACGAATCTAATATCGTGCCCGAGGAACGAGATGAAGCCGTAGCCTTTGTCTTCAAACCTGAGTGGGCCCACCAGCACTTTTCTTGCGACAGTGACTGCGCGTCCTATACACTCTTCCATCTAGCTGCCACATCTTGATGCGGCCTTCCCATCGTCGGTCGGTCACACCTACCAGCGGAGACACGGAGGAAAAGACATCTCAAGACTGGGGTGAGCATACAGCTGGTACTCCCTCACCTGCCAAGCTCTGACATCGCTTCTGCTTCCCCAACCTGGTATTGGCTCAACATCTGGAGGTCGATAGTTTGGATGGTTGATATTTGATGAAGGGCCGGGTGGAACCTCAGCAGAGCGGTTGCTGAGATATACCTGCCGACATGTGCCTTCACATGGAGACCAGCATATGCCACTGCTGCTACTGAGCACGGCATGGCCTGGGACACATGCATCACAGAAAAGCAGTCACATGTACGCCGAGGGTCGTCGTCATCCTCGTCAAGCTTGCTAGCTACCAAAGCAGGATCTGGCAAGGATGAGGGGCTCGTGATAGCCAGCAGTGTTCCATCAGTGGGTGTTGGAGGGATCATTTGGCCCATCATGGGACTCATCATGGCTCCCATCATCATCATGTGGTTAAACATGCCCATCTGATGCATCATGTACTGCTGCTGCTGGTGCATGATTCCAAGCATTCCGGGGTTGGAGCCCAGCGAAGCACCGCAGCTGCACCCATTGCAAGGCATTCCCATGCTTGCCAAGCCCGGAGATACGTGCGATGAAACTCCCGCCGGCACTTTCATGTAGCCAGGTATGGAACTCTCAGGGCAACCAACCGAGTCTTCAGGCGACGTGGCAGCGGCGTCTGCGCCAGGCTGCCCAAGCTCAGCTGGCACTCCCTGTTCAGTCCTCTGGCGCTTTCGTGGCTGCGTCTCTTGGTCCACCATAGCCCGGCTACGTTGGGCCTTCCCTTGGCAGGCTCATGCACGCAACGAAACATGGAATCAAAGCAGCATGAAGATGGAGTTGGCTTGAGCAATACAGCGGGTGTGACGAGGCAAAGCATGAACACTTCTGATGGATTTGGCTTGTCGTGCAGCCATTCGACCTACGTGTAAATCCTGCCACGTGCCCACAAGTTCTAGCCCTTCTCGCGGCCTTTCATGCATCTTCGTCTGTGTGCACAGCCACCTATACCGAAAATCTGCCAAGCACAGATTTGGATAAAACAGTTCTCAAGGCGGCTCCGATGAGTGAGCACCCCATGGTTGCAGCATCCGGCATGCTCCGAAACTCACCGGTTCCAACACGCCTTTCGTCGGGCCGCCGGGCCCAGGATCCAAACTTCTTCTTGCCAACGTTGCCGATCAAGTCCATGATGCCGTTGCGTGGAGCATCACGCATAGATAGGGCAACCAACCAGCGCAATCGAAGAGCCTGTCTGCCAAAGAGGAGCATAGCACAATGCAGCGAACATAAACAACTCTATGAACAGCATCAATGACTGACACCGCTCACTCCAGGGCTCTAGACTAGAAATGCAGGCCATCACTTGCGAAGCTCTCTCCCTGCCGAAGCCTGGGGCACCCCAGCCACGTGCAAAAACAGCAGGATCGTTGAATCGCCGGTTGCGCCTTGTCGCAGACGAACACGACATGTTGTAATGCTGCTGCTACTGTAATGGGCTCTGTTCCAATTCCCAGCAATGCGATTTCTTCCGCGAGATCTTTCGCGGCATGAAATAGACACCGGATTTGAATGCTTGGCATCTTCGCGCTCGAGAGCCGTTTAGAACAACATACGTCAGCCGGCGCACAAGAACAAGAAGGGAGTGTGATCTCAGAACTTGCATGTCAGAGATTGTGAGAGGCAGGTCGCTTGGCCCTCTCACATCTCCACTCTATGATGGTCACTCATGGTCTCGCAGCAGGGACATGAAGAACCCTGCAAGCGACATAGCACAGATAAGCTGCTCCAACTTTTCGATGGCCTTCATCTCCTCTGCAGATGGCTTTTGGCATAGGGATCTTCAGTTTTGTTGGAGACATCCTAATTTCATTGACCTGTGTTGATCGGAATTCCTCCGCAGAGAGCTCGAAGCCCAAAATGTCGAGATTCTCTTTCAATCTGTCGTTGCTCCTCTGCGGTGCACAAGTCCGCGCGAACTATTGGTGGTATCATGACGTGTCCAATTCTAAAGCACATGTTCGGGTGGCCAAGCACAGCGCACAACGAAGTCCAAGCGGCTGACTCTTTGGCACAACTGAGCATCCACGCTGCACTTGAAAACGTAAAGCTACCTGTCCTCAGTTGATTTCAGCTCGCGGTTTGTACAAATCGCACTCTGAGCGCTTAGCACCTGGCCGACAGTCTTCTCATGTGCCGCCGCAATGGACTGCAGAGTTGGCTCCAGAAAACAATCATCGTCGGCAGTGGCCAAGCCAATGTTCATGTAAGACTTCCTGACTGGTACGAGATGCTCTTCTCCCAGGCTTCCGGGCACCACATGACGCATGGACCAAGTTCGGTTGGCTCTAGCTAAATCCCGACATGCTCAACAACGGCCACAACATGCCACAAGTAACACAAACCGCAACAGCAAACTGGCTTAACAGCCATCCAAGACCCCCCCTCGTTGCCGACACATACAGAGCCGCAGCCATCGGCAGCCCCAACGCCCTCAACTCTGGCTCTAGGCCCTAGGCTTTCCTGAACACGAGGCTCAGCTAATTCCTCAAGACAAGTCAGGCACCACAATGGGAAACAGGACATGTAACAAAGAAACACGGATTTTGGCTTCAACACAATCAGACCAACTGGTTGCAGGTCAGTTGAGCCAGCTTTGTCTTATTTGTAGTCTCTCGAAGTTTGCTGAATTTTACGTGCATTTTTCTTGTGTGGGTTGCGAGCTTCACAAGACAAAAAAGACGGTAGACAAGCATGTTGCACCGAAGTTGCGCATCTTGTTGCGAAGTGTTTGTTTAATGGCTTCGGCACTACCATTCCATCCGTCGGCCCTGCCGCAGAATTTTCAGCGAAACCCAGCAATGCGGGGATGATTCTGCAGATTTGACTGGAAGCTCGGGAACATGGAGTTCATGCTCGACCTGCTCGACTCGTCAAGTTTCCTACTTTCTTTGTGCACTGCGATTCCAGCACTATTGTTGCATGGGGGTTTGCCGGTCGACACGATGTATCGGCCCTTGCGCATCCTCGGAATCAAGGAATTCTGCCCGAACCCGAAAGATTGAAGACAGCAAAAAAGCAAAAGCAAAACCGCCATTTTGCTGTGCTCTGACCGCGGCCCAGTGACGCCCCAAACGGCGAGAATGCGGTCACCCCTATCCCGTGCGCCTGGAGCTGCAGTGATTTCGGGGGCATCTTGGAATACGAGCATGACTCACCTAGTTCTCGCAAGCTCACGACACCATGAATAATATCATAGCCCATCGATGTCCTCTGTTCTTTGCAAGGGACCGTGCCGTTTTGCTGAATCAGGCGGCCGGCTGTCTGCAATCATGCTTCTACCCTGGCCTCTTATCTGTAGTCTTACCATGCTTACCATGATGCGGGCATGAGTGCAAGCCAGGGGAGGCTTGCGACGACGGGTGACTTCTTGCATAATCTGCGGCAGTTTGCGACAGGTACGTGTTGAGATGCCATCCTTTAAAATGAACGAGACACTGACCAAAAAGGAGCAATGTCAGTGACGCGTAACATTTGCCACGCTTTCCATCTGTCATGCATTCTCCCTGCGACTGCCTTGGCCTTTGCATGCCTGGGTGGACTGGCCTCAGGGAGCTGGTGTCTATTAGCGTTCGCTTTTCTACACAAGCGGAAAACACCTCAGGACACTGTGTCTTACTATGCCAGTTCGGCAAGATTCAGCTTTCCCTGCCTTGCAGAACTCAACAAGCCCTGGCTGCTGCAGGTAGACGTGGTTCTCAATCTGATTGACAACTGGCCAGGGAAGCGGCTTCGGACGGCAGGGCACCTTCTCGGAGTTCAAAGGCTTATTTGTTCACTGCATGCTGTTACAGGGCTGCCCTCTCACCCGACAGTTGTCACCTGAAGGCGAAATTCCGAAAACACGTTGTGGCGCTACATCATGCTGACGCACTTACAATTTACAATAGCAGCCACAGAGTTCTGCGCGACTGCTGGCGACTGTTTGGAGCTTCTAAACCCCGAGGATGTTGCAAAGCTCGGCCTGGCTTGATCTTGCAGTAGGAAAGCACGTCCATAAGCGACTGCACTGTCAAGTTGCTGACTCCAATGTGCTTCACTTTGCCAGTTTCCTTGTCAGGAACGGAGCTTTGGCATGCCTGATGCAACTGCTTCTGGTTGTTCCTTCCAAGATCTCACAACATTTCGCTCAGCAGCCAATCTGAGGCGTAGTGAGCAGGGATCCCTTCCGATCCATCGTTTTACTGCGCACGTCTGCTTATCCGCTGCAGGGCTACTTTCTCGGGTGCTTCCTGTGCTGCAGTGTTGCATACACTCCACGACTGCGAGCACAGTAGCGGTCCATCAACTGCGGGACCCTTGTTTCAGACGAAGAGCCTGCAGAGTCTGCATGGCTTCCCAGGTTTCGCCTCAGTTCGTCACTTCACCTGTTCAACTCCCTAACCGCATGTACATACGAGTACATGGATCATTTATTGCCATTTATGTGGGTTTGCCCGATCGTCCGCATGACAGCTTGGGGATGGGCAGCAAGGTTCCACGACCGACGGCATACGTGGCTCCTACCTCTAGACTTCAGGTCACATGTAGAGAACGACGAGAATACACCTTGAACAATTGTTTTGTGGTTTGGGGCTTCGTTTGCGCAGCGTGGGCCGGTAATTATTACCTGCGGAAAGGTACAAAGCAACTGCTCCAAGCCGGATAGTTGCAGCAAAGAAACGATATGGCACAGCATCCAAGATCATGTGGCCGGCATTCCCGGGCTTGTCCGTCCACTCTGGTGGGTAGCATCTATCGAACGGCACGAATGCTAGCGAGATTGGGAAGTGGATAAGGTAGAGGTCCAAATAGTCCTCGTGCATGCAGCTTTTGCTTACCCAAGCGTGCCTCTCCCTGGCAACTGCGGAGTTTGCCGCCGAGGCGCCAATCCTAGATCATCGAGCGTCCTCTGGCATGCCAAGGGAACATTCCTGGAGCTTGTGGGGCCGAAGCAACACCAACAAAGTTGAAAATATTATTAGAGCTCCATTGCCTGGACATTTCTTCAACTAGCTGTTGGGTCAGGCTGCTCCCTTCTGTGGTAGGTGTTCCACAGTTTCGAGGTGATCCAAAGGTCGGAGCGATTGCATATGCCTTCCTGGATGGCCCGACGAATTCCAGCACCTACCTCTTGCTCGTTCCCGTAGTCAGCAGCGCTGTCGATGTGTCGGTAGCCAACCTTCGCAGGGCAGAAGCTAAAGAGTGTTGGAGACCATCCTGAATTGAAGCGGCAAGCGCATTGATTGCCGTATGGCCTTTATGGCATTGTATACAACTTGTTCCGTCACTCCCTTCTCGGCTTTCCAGCAGCCAAGGCCGACCATGGGCATTCCAACCGACGCCATCGCTGCAGGGCTCTTGTGGCTCTTGAGCACTCACGCCTCCGACTGGGGAAAATGCTCCTTCTGCGTTCGGTCCGTGACATCATAAGTATGCCCTGTGTTCGTAAAACCGTCAACCGGCAGGGGCAGCGGTCATGCATGGACTAAGTTGCCCACCACGAGAGCTGTTGGGGTCAGAGGAGTTCAGCAAACCGTTCTGCAACAGAACCTGCCACACGAGACACTTCTGATCTGATTACTGTGACTCGCCAAGCTCGACGTGTTCCAGCGCACGGTCTCCAGTGGCTCCGAGGAGGCGATGTATGCGTCGCTGTCCATCCACACGACAAAGTCACAAGTCCTGTATCAAGCGCAGCTGGTGCAACTTGGAGCAGAGAGACAAAGCGCCAGTGCAGATCAAGCCATGATCAAGCAGCCGAGCTCCTGTCTTCTAACTCTTGCTGTATGAGGCGCACGATGGACCACTGCACGCGCCTCTCAAATCTATGATGTTCGTGCAACGCTGCAACATGCTCCTGAGCCACTTCGGGCGCTGATGAGGCCTCGGTGGCTCGAGTCCATCATGCAGCATCTCGAAGAGTGCCTCATTGCTGATGACGGGCCTGCAGAGGCTACACACGCTGCACGAGAAGAAGGCCCTTCCGCAGCAAAGGACAGCAATCTGTCGATACATGTCGATTCTGTGACCAAAAATGTCCATGTCATAGAGCCTTCGCGGTCGCTTGAAGTACGCGGTATGTCTGTACAAGGCAAAGCAACTGCCCTGGACTGGATTAGAGGATGAAGGCCGCCTGCGAAATCGGTAGCCGTGCAATCTTGCGTAGAACCTGGACCATAGCGGCATCCGGTGCTTCGTTGTACGATGGTTTGACGGGCTGTTCCCTGCTACGACATGAGGCAGCTGTCGTGAGTAGACTGCCTGGTCTCTCCCACATGCCCGAATTCAGCATTGCAACTGTCTGATGTCCGCACCGCACCGTTCTAGGTGGAGAGGTATGGCTCGGACCTGTTCAGGTGGTAGGTCAGGCTCCAGAACTGAGTAAGTTCGTTGGGGTCCTGCAATAGCTGTCAGCAGACGGAGCACAAGTTCTCAGCAAGTCGCTTTTCGGCCAAATCAGTGTCAACACCTGTGCCGGTGGAGTGTCCCTCCGTATCTCCTTGGCGACCAGTTTGGCCATGTTCGTCTCCAGTGGCCTGCATGAAACATCAAGATGGCTCCGTGGCTGGGCTTGCAGACAGTCTTGAGCTTTCTGCACGGGCGTGCCGTAGCCTGACAGCCTTTGCCGGCTTTCTGGGTTATGCAGTTGTGCATCGTATGAATGGTCTTCCCATGCTCTAGAACAAGTGACAAGACACTCCCGCATAATGCTGCGCTATGCGTGGCAGAGTCGGCATGACATGCGGGATGCTTTGCTGGTTTGGCCCCTACATCGATGAACTATGGATGACAACAGGTGGCGGCAAGCATTCTGCAGTGGTCACAACAGAGACTTTATACTGATATCGCGAAGCAGGTGTCCATACGAAAGCAAACACGAGACTGTCAAAACGAGCCCGATCTGTGACAGTCGCATGTTCCATGTCACTATCTATTTGCCAAAAAAACAGTAAACAATCCTTTTCGCATCCATGTTCTGCAGGAAAGTGTTTCATGGCGCGAGCATCTGCGAGCGCAGGGTGATGCTTCTGGTGCCTGAATATCTAGAATCAATTAAGAGCGCATGCCGAAACCTAAAGAGCTGGCACAGTAGTGAATAGCTCGCAGCACCGGAAGATATAGGCCTTCATTCGACAGCGCACCGAGTCACTGGCTTCTGGCTCGACCTCGCTCTCGATCAAGCCAAGCCATGCCCCGAACATCAACGTTCCAATGCATGACTGCTTGCCTGTCACAGCCAGCTGGATCAACTCATATCTGAAATTCAGGGCGATGGCACGTAAGCAAGCTGAAGGGTCTGTCAGCTGCCACGGCTCATCGGCTGTCAGATTTGCTGCGTTACGGCTGGTCTAAGTGCGTCCTGTACACTTTCTGGTGGCGAAGGCAAAGGAAACATGCTCCATGCATTCACACCGATGGCTGCGGCACGGGTGTTGTGGCAGTTGCCATAGAACGGATAGAACAAAAAATCGAGACATCCGGACTTGTCAGGCATCGCCAGCAACAGCTCTACGTCGTACTATGTCATAATCCTCCAGTGACTGCAAGAAGCTACACTACTTGACCCAGAACCATTCTACATTTTGCCTGAGCCGGCTGTGTATCATGGATCCTGGCAATCCTGATCAACAGAGACTGGATCAGGATCCTGGGATCCGTTGCTCTGTGCGGATTGGTGCAGGGGAGACAGGTGCTTAAAACTGGCCCACTGCACGAGGACTTGCTCAAATGGGACAGGTGTGGCAGGTCTTGGCTTGGTTTTCTGTCTTCTAGACTTCGTTCTTGGAGTTGTCCAACGCCTGGTTTGCCGTCTACTCACCCCCACGCCCATCTGCGCACTGTGCCGCGCAAAGCTCGGAGCCTGCCGGGCCAACAGAACTCTAGCTAAAGGACATTGGCATAAGTATTCCATAAGTAAATAGGTGGCGGAGCGGAGAAAATTGAGGACGGCCATGATGACGCAGATGTATATGACAGACAGCTGATCTTCTGAACGATAATCATTGTGAACATGGTCTTGAGAATGGTCTGATGAGATCACAGACGGATCTTGATCATGGTGGTGATGCTGATATTTAAGCTGACTTGCCCGCCACCGGTTCCGCTGAGCAAAATTGCCAATCAGTTCTGTAGCGTGGCTGTCCGAGCTGTCGGCGCGGAAAATCATAGAGAAATGCCCATGTGTACCTGACCTCGGGAATGTCATTCGAGCTGGACATGTCGACCACCCGCTGTATCCATACCGGGTACGAGTAGAGTGCATAGCTGCATTGTGATGGCATACTGTATCCCTTGTCCTACTGTTGACCGCACAGCTACGCAATGCGACGCAGCTTGCGATAACTACCTGGCGATGTCTATTTCCCTCGACTTTCGGGGAACCCTAGTTCAGGGTCTTTCTGTAATTGCTTTAGCAGCGATACTGGCTGTTCTCGGGCTCCAAGTGCTGCGATTTACAGCCTTTCGGTTTGTGGTGCCGCTGCTGCGTGTTCTAACATGCTCTAGCGTGCCGCTTCTGAGCTGCTTTAGAACCGTTGTTTGAAGTCTCAGAACGCCTGCAGAGATGCTGCAACATGAAACAGTGCCCAGCAATTCCAACCTGAGAACAAACAGCGCGTCACAAGATGAAGAGATGCTGAGAATGTGCAGCCGAATCGTGACAATTTATAGATCTGCAGCCCGAGAACTATTCGAAAGGCTGCAACCTGCAGCATATGTAGCCTTAGAAAAGCAAGATGCGATCAGTCTAAGATCGACCAGGTATGCTGCAAAAGCAGCGTTTGGAGAGAGAACAGCAAACATCTGCAATGGAAGTATTTGCAACCCGAGAACACGCAGTTCTTACAGGTTTTGCAGCATGAGGACAACCAGACCTGCTGCATCTTACAAGATTTGGAGCCAGAAAACAACCCGACAAGCTGCAATTTATTGTTATATTTGGGCTTAGGAATTGGGCTTAGGACAAGTAGACACTCAAACTGCAGCAAACTTCTGCGTTGCTACCGTGTGCAAGACTAAGCTCAGCAAATCAATTATCCCCCTCTGCCAATGCTTGACTCAGGGATCACACCCCGGAAGAAACCAAAACAGAAATGCGGACTCCCCAAGGGTGCAGTCAAGGGCAGGCTCCTATCGCAAGGCCTGTGCTTTTCGTGGCATGGAAGGTTTCCATGTGCCATCCTAAGGCATGCAGTTTGCGCGCATGCGGTCCAACCGTGAGTGGCCACGGACTGGGTCTTGCGAAGCAGATGTCCCGACTCCATGGAAGCAGTCCAGACCTGCTTTGGGTAATGGTCTGATTAGTGGCTTGTTGCTTCTGGATGTGCTTGACCACGAATGCAGACTGTCCGTTGTGCAGCAATTTTTGGAGCACGTACTCGGGCCATGCACTGGTTCTCGCATGACGCCGTCAGCAGGGCCCGCGCATGTTATGGCAGCTTAGAGGGTGCACACTCAAAGACTTGCCTCGGGAAAGAAGAGGAATCAAGCCTCAGACCGCAAACCCTACTTGCGCGAATGCACAGATACCGCCAGAGGGTACCTTGCCTGCTCTTGACTCTCGACTTCTCAAGATTCCACAGATTTAAATGAATGGCAATGGCAGTTGTCAATGCCTAAAGCCGAAGAACAACGACCACTCACTCCTCGCGATCGCTAGGTCAACTGCATCCTAAAGCTCAGGCAAGCTCACAGGGCCCACACATGCCCACACTGTGCCTCATGGAATGAGCTAAAGCGATTGGAATCAAAGTGTTTTGCCGAGCATTCAGCACTGCAGTAGCTATGTATGTCCATGAAGATGGTGAGTCACGTTGTCGCAGCCATAACATGCTACTAGTAGGAGTTCTCCTGCGTGACAGGCGGAGCACAAAAAGCAACCTCAGCCGCCTACAAACTTCAAACTGCGGGGTGTTGAGATCCACGACGGGACTGTGTAGATTTTCTGAGCTGAGCAAGAAGTCATTCCCGTTGGTTGCATGCAGGCGGCCCGAGGGTTTGTTCATGCAGGTGTCAAGGCCGTATCTGCACTGCCCTGGGCTCACATTCCTGACTTGTCTTCGCTGCCATGGCTACATGCTCCACTTGTCTTGTATCTTGTGGTCATGCTCGAAACTCTACGGCTTGGCCAGGGAGAGGCCTGCCTCGTGCGAGAGGCCTACATTGCTAACTGTCAAAGCGCTTCATCTAAACCTGCGACAGGAACTGCCAGAGATTGCAGTCATGGACAAGGGCTCAGCCCACGGGAAGAAAGTCACATGCCTGCCGTTGCAGCGGCTTGACATACGGAATTCGAATTCTAGATCTTTTTCTGAACTAGACGGTCTGTGAACTGTCCGCATCATCAGGCCCTCTTCACCCTCCAGCCTTTTAATGGATATTACTGCACGCTGGCTTGATTCATTTCCTTATAATATCCTTAGTGTGGCGGCCGTGCCTTAGCGTAGTCCAGACCTGGTCGGTGGGGGCAAGAAGGGCCAGCCCGGCGGCCCGGCCCGTCCACGCCCTCTGCTCTGTAAGCGGAGACGCGGCCGTGGCCCGTGGCCTCAGAGAGAAAAAATCTGACCTCGGCGAGGCTCCCGAGCGTCACCTTCAGGTACACCGTGACCATGAAGTGGAAGCTAATCGTCGTCCAGACTGAGGCAAAGCGTAGGAGACAGGCGACTTTGGGTTCGGAAGCCTCTGTTAAAAGCATTCGATCGTCACCTCCAAGCATCTCTGCAGCACTGGCCGTAGCCGTGACTTTCGAATGATGTGACAGTACACCTATACCGATGGCCCAAGCCAACAAACTCTCGTTGAAATGTTTGAAGACAAGCTCTTCCAAGCTCAAGTCTTCTAAGTCCCCTTCCAACATCAAACCCCAAACAACACTCTGTCACTCTGCTGGTAAGGGCTTGAAACCAATCAATTTCTGGTCCAGCTTTGCGCATCTTGTATCCTCAGGGCTTCGGCAGCTGGAAGATGAGGCACCTGCACGAGAACGCAACGACGAGCGGCTACAAGCTATTTCTCTCTTGGCCAGCCTCTTATTGCATACTTCATGCGCATAATTGCCCTACCCGGGTCTTGCAAACATCTGTGGCAAGAACCACAATCCTTTAGCACACGTGCCAAGCTGTGCTTCTCCAGCCTCAGCTGTACCTCTTCCTCCAATCGGTTCGATCTGTCCGTGCGCACAGGTGTGCTTCTGCGAGGTGATATTTCTCCGTTCTTTTGCAAGCTGCATCTTCCACTTTGGCCGCTGGCCAGATAGCCAAACCTTGATTGATGCAGTATTCGAGTAGTATTATGTGGCTCGATTCATAATCTTCCTCTCCTTGCTTTTATGGTGCATCAGGAACTTCCCGCCAACTTCAACATGTACTGATAATGATATGTATCGTACGAAACATGTAGGGTTGCAACTCGTGAGGTTCGAAACCCGGCATGGTGCCAGAGGCCATACCCGGTGACTTTCATACAACTTGCCATCAGAATCCTTCACAGCAAGATGGATTGAGAAGCTTTGGACTCTCAGGCTCGCGCCAGGCCGGCAAGGCTTCAGGACAACTCGTCCAGTTTTAGATATTTAAAATAGACGCGTTGAGTGCTCCAAAGCTCCAGCCCAACAGGAACACAACAGGCTGCAACACGGCTGACTACTCAATCAAGTCACTAGAACACCCGACTGCGCAGAAACGAGCCCCAAAACTGAATTAGTAGTCGAGGTCTGCAGGCCATGGGCCACCACCAACATGCTCAGCCGCTTGATCGCTTTTGATTTCACGAAAGGACCAAAGTCTCTAGGGACTCCAGGGTTTAGGCCAGTTTAGGGTCGGGGATGTGCCAGCGCCTCTCTCCATTCCCGGCGTTTGTCGAGGCGGTCTTGCAACAGGTCAGACGCAGTCTATCGTGCTGTCACAAGCTGGTGCCAACAGTGGAGTGACTGGGGTGAAAAGGGGCCCATGACGGACAGGACTGGGTCTGAGCTACTACTGCTGGTGCTCCTGCCCCTGCTGCTGCTACTTGCTACTCACCACCACCACCACCACCACCGTCCAGCAAGGTCTGAAGAGTGATCTGAAGAAGTCCGGAGAGGAAAGCTCTGCATTGCTGCTCACAACGAACACAGAGCTACGAGTACTGGATCGAGAGGGTGCGTCGCAGACTCGGCCTGGCCTGGCCGGGCGCCAACTTCGCGGCGCCAAGAAGAGCGGTCACACCGGAGATGGGAACCTGCCAAAGAGGGGAAAGCTTTGGGCAACATCTCAAGCAGCGAGGCCAAAGCATGCACTGTAGCCAACTTTCTCCGGGCACCGCATAATTAACCCAGGGCCAGATTTCAGATCAAGTGAAACCGAAGTCACATCCGGAGCACGAGCCTCGTACCCTCCCGTCTTCCTGGGCAAGCTTGTATCCACAAGATCTCTGGACTGCTTGCGTTCATGGCAACCTTTGCATCATTTTAGAAGCACACGGCAACTACGCGGCAGCACAACCTCTGGGCGAGACTCCCCCAACTTCCATCGATGTCCATCTCGGTGGCTGGAGGCGGGAGCAGAAAGTCATCTGGCAGACCTCAGGATCAGCTGAGACTTCTGAAGCAAGTTCATGCAAACTGGAAGAATCTGTGTACCCATCTAGATTTTGCCGAGCTTACCTACGCAGAGCTATTCAGGTTGATTGCCCTGGAGCACACATCTGTCGTACCCACAGAAGAAATGATGCCTGCTTGTGAGGACGAGCTCTGATGCACTTCGCCAGCCTACCAGCACAAATGAGAACGAGGCCAAACTGCAGCTCGGCCGAGTCGCCTTAACTGCTGAGCGGTGGCGAAGCTTGCTTGCATGTGCTCCGAGTCTTCTCGAGCTCGCATCGAATAGTTGCAGGTGTTGGTGCTGCGCTCATCTCATGAACGGTCGATTGTTCATCGACTGATATGCAATGTTCTCTGACTCATCAGACAAGCCCGTGGCAACGCGGTTTGATCACCGGCGTGGCGGGAACTTGCCTCAGATGTGATTTCAGCCCAAGTACTCGGGGATTCTAAGGTGCGATGGCTTGTTGGCAGATGTCGAATCTTCGGAGACATAGGAACGGAACTTCATCTCGACACCATGTGCCGCTAAGCTGAACCTTCGACTCCCTTTGACTTCCAGTGTCACTGTTGAATATCTGCGTGCCTTATGGGCCTTGCCTCAATTGAACATGGCTCCTTCGTGCATCGACGTATACAGGTTAGTCTTAGCGGCTCTAACTGTAGCGCAGTTCTGGAGCGCTTCGGATGAGTCAGCAGGGGTCTCACTCTTGCACATGGCTGCAGCCAGCAGTTGTTAAAACACATGACAACTGCTGCAAACAAACCGTTCCCGCGCCATGGATGCTTAGCGGCAGTGCCATGGTCGTCAGTGCCTGGGCAGCACGGCTACAAGGTTTCTGTCAGTCGCGGAACGCCGAGTGACAAGCCGGTGCTGCTAACCGGGGCGCTTGCGTCTAGCGTAGGCCAGATGTCGGGGCGGACGGCGGCACCGCGAACTTCCTTTTGAAGCTTGAGCCACCGTGCGGAATGTGACAGGAAGCCGACGGATGAGTCGCTGACTGAAGCGCATCCAGAATCTACGAAGTTCTGCCGGGTGGATTGGTCCGGATGCTGATGCTGCAAAGTGCAGGTTAGCCGCGTGGAATGCTGGGCAACCTTCTCCCTTGTGCCTCTGAGTCATGCCAGAGACTCTACTGTATAGAATCTATCAATGCACAGCGCTGGCGAGCAAACTTGGGCCTCCTGACCAGATAAAACATCGAGGTCGGTCGGAACTCACGGCTATAAACGTAAGACCAACTGTCAGAATCACAATGTAACGCATGCGGTCATGCAGCCTTGGCGTTGCTCGGACCTCTCGAGGTTGCTGGGTGACCATATGTGCAGCGTTACAGGAATAAATCAGCCATGATCATCCACAACCCGCCCCATTCTTGGCCCGAGCCTTCCCCTTAAAGCCGTTGCTCTGCTTCTCTGGGCCTCTATAGTTAAACCCTGACGGGCTGCGCAGCCTTTAGCCTGTAACAAACACCGCATCCCAAATCCCTTAGGCTCGTCCAGACCAATGTGAGTCCAACAATTTCGTTGCTGAATGCTCGTATTTCCAAAAATGATGTTCATGTTTTTCGTGAGTGCAGTCTCGGAAACCGACAAAGGCTTCGCCAAGCCTGTCGTCCCCGGGATCTGTGGAGATGATGCAAATCCGGTGCGACCTGAAGTACGACTTACATTTGGGTGTTGGCGAGTGTACACAGGGCATACTGAGGTTTGCGTTTGAGGGATGTTTCAGGCAACCTACTGACAGTGCTGATTTCAGGAATGCTGTCCCCTAAGAGTGGTTGCGGGTCTGGTAGCCGCGCTGAAAGTAGCCATTTTAAGAAATCATCACAGCAGCTGCCCGACTGCCGACTAGCCGGGAGATGCAGAAACATCAGAAACGAAGCTTATGCAAGAGATTCCTTCCAGAGCCCGAGGCCCGCCAAGTTCGCCTGCAGTACCTACCCAAGCCAACCCAAGCTCCGGAAACCAAGACGTTCCAATGACACCTACGCCCGTGTCGCCATGAACGAAAGAGTGAGGTGCAAAGCTTTGCATGAGAACCGCGGAGCGCTCTTCAACCGCCTGCATGACCCAAACCATCGCACCTCTCCCCAAGGCAGCGGCAGGCGGGGTAGGAACGGAGGCGCAAGCTGCTCGCACCGGCATGTCTCGTGGTTTGGACCTGATGAAATCTGACGAATGATGATTTGATTCGGTAGGCGCGAATTACCTTCCCGACCCTGTGGAAAGCAGACACAGCACGCATCACAACCATCCCCTGTGTTTACGCTCTCACAACTCGGACACAGCCCCATCCCCTGTGTTTGGGTTTCGCTCTTTCCTGAGTCTGCGCCTGAACTCGTGTCGCAGACTCGTAAAGTTGCTCGCGCAGAGCTGTAGACTGAGCTGTAGCGGGTTATGCCGTGAGACGCTGCAGGGAACGATTACCAACTGTCACCAACCGTATAATTCAGTCTCCTTCAGAACATGGGCCGGAAGGGTGGGAAGTCCATTAATTTGGATTCGGGATTGGCGTCACACCGGCGATGTCATTCTCGACGGTATCCCGAACATCAGAAAGCTAGCAGGCGGGTTTAGGAGATGCCCCAACAAATCCTGAGAAGCTGTGGCATCTTCGCCGCTCTGGGCCACGTGATCAAACGAACTGCAGTATCCCTACAGGTTAATTACATAGCTGCTTGTTGGCCGAAGTGCAAGCACAAGTCTTGTGCCAGAGACCTTCAAAGGACTGGGTTCAAGCGCCTCATCCGCGCCCCAGCCACGCGTATGGTACCCGGATGTTTTGCTGTGCAAGTACGCGCACCGGGCAATTGTGACGGCGCACGTACTGTCTCATGCAAGAACGCACGGGGAGCTAAGCGGCGGACTGCCGCCATTGGGACAAAACCTCATAGCCAGGAACGACAATCCCTGGCCCTACATTTCCGCTCTCCAAGTATACAAGGAGCACATATGCAGGACAAGCAATCTCAATGTCGCCACGTCACGACAGACTGCACGGATGCCCGAAACCGAAAGGGGATGCAGCCTCAGTGGGACTCAGTGTGAAGCAGCTCATTCAAACTACGACAGTTATTGGTATAGGAGGCCAATCCCAGCGACGTAAACAGACATAGACGGTGCTGAGAGAACGGCGTGGATTTCATCCTCCACATAGCCCAAGATCTCCCAAAGCTGCGGCGTCTGCAGCAGCGTGCTATGTGCCTTGTGCTTGGAAGTGGTGGGTAGTTCGACTTTTTCGTCGATCCGTTTATCATCACAGTTCTCTGGGGAGCTGACGCAGGCCACGCGGGACATCAAGTCCGCCACGTGGACCCTGAAGGGGTTCGCGCATCGTCTTCGGGCCGAGTATAGCTTCAAGATGCTTCAAGCACAATTTGCGGAACCCCGAACTCGAGACCGCAGGGCAGCGAGAAACCGCGAACGTGAAGGCCCGTCAATTCCAGGACTGGAATACCAGCTCTGTAAGGTCCGAGCTCGGTCATTGTGAGGTACAGGTACGCTTCATGCAACCTTGGCTGAGTCTCTCCCGAAGCATTCCTTGTCTTCGGGGTCTTCGTTTTCAGCCCAGGAGCTGACCCATCCTGGCCATGGCTACGGCCTCGGTGTGTGCGCGTTTAGCACAAGGAACCGCCTCCACCGCAGCAACAATAAAAATAAGGCTGCAACAATAAAAATCGTTGTCGCTCTACTATGCGAACGGATTCTTGTGTCAATAAATAAAATTCTACGGCGCCCACTTCTGGTTTGCAGCACAAATCATGAAGTGGACTGCAGTGTCAATAAGTAAAAACAAGCCAAAACACGAAGGAGATAACACTCCACGACAGGCAACCGTAACCTTCTGCGCGACCTGCACTGGATTCGGCTATGGATGCACACTGAGTAGGGGTCTGGAAGCACAGGTCAGTCTACCGTTCCAATTTGGATAAGCGCCTCCAGACAACGGACTACGACAATGCTGCTTCATTCCGCCTGGAACGTTTGCTGAAGCTCTCAGATTCTCAGCCCATTACAGGCTTTTACATTAAAGCTTCTCGGCCCCAGCGGCACAGGAGGCTGCACCCAGCGCTACAGCACCAACGCCACATCGCCGTCGTGCAAGCTGAGGTGTTCCTCTGGCAGTCCACATCCTCAGCTTTCGCAGCATGGAAGGTGATGAGATGTTCTGCCTGAGACGTCGAACTGTGGGAATGGAAGGCCTTTCATCCTTAAAGAGTTCAGGATGTCAGGTTTTTGTCGAGAAGGTCCGAGGCCCTTGCCTTGCTTGCCTGGCTTGGGAGGTATCCGAAGGGATTACTGGGGCTTCCGCTCCATGGCCAGCGCTCGCAAATGCTCGGAACCTCGGGTAAACATGTCGTAAATGCAGACGCCCTCAAAGCTGAATTGATCGAAATGACGAACACCATGTAGTGCTTGCACTCTCTTAGGCATGGGAGCCTTGTTTTGAACTTCGATTGCTCGGCACGCTGCGAGCTAAGCGCTGTCTATGCAGTGGCTGCAGTGTCCTCATCGTCGTCGGCATGGTCGGCGGAATGCTCCTCGGCATGGTCCTCTGTGTGCTCCTCGGCATCAGCCTCCGCGTGGTCCTGCATGTGGTCCTCCACATCTGCCTCCGCGTGGTCCTGCACGTGGTCCTCGGCGTCTGCCTCCGCGTGGTCCTGCATGTGGTCCTCGGCATCTGTCTCCGCGTGGTCCTGCATGTGGTCCTCGGCATCTGCCTCCGCGTGGTCCTGCATGTGGTCCTCGGCATCTGCCTCCGCGTGGTCCTCCATGTGGTCTTCCGCATGGTCTGCTGCAAGGCTGTGGTGTGCAGCACTGATTGCATCAGGGCTCGGTATTCCCCGCCTGAGCTGCGCATGGTTCACGAAGCTGATGGCAAACTGGTTCACAGGGACACCGCCGGAGGTGTGCACAAAGGGTTCTTCACACTGCTGCTTGGGGCAGCTCTGCGCTGGCTGCCAACCATCAGCATTGGTCTCGATGTTGGTTCCAGTCACTGCAAAGTGGGATGCCAGCTGCTCAAAGATGCCCACTTCCCGCTGAAGCTGATCCTTCTTGCTTCCTTTGTTGTGTGCAGCTTCAGACGCTGCTCCGAAGCCGAAGTGAACTTCCATGTCCAGCGTACGGATCTTCTTCATGTCCTCTTCGTTCTTGAGGAGATCTTCCAAGACGGACCACTCGGAGCCCTCGACATCAATCTTGAGATGCGTCGACATCTCACCACGCCCGGCGAGCAGCTCGGACAGCGATGTGTACTGCCGCTGGTTGACTGTTTCGTGCTTGGGGCCAAGGCAGACCCGGAAAGCATCGTAGTGGGTCTCATAGCAGTGGTGAGGATTTCCTGCGCATGAGCCCTTTGCATTCGGAGCGATCATCGCCAAAGCGGGCGAAGACTTGGGATTCTGGAAGCAGTCGTAGAGTTTCGTCGGCATGTGAAAGTCATTGCTCATGGTCTCGCTCCAGAGGTCCCGCTCCTCAATACCAAAGGAAAGACCCAGCTTGCCGTAATCACCCTTGAAGGCGGCCAGGCACCAAGCCGAGTCACCGAACAACTTGAAGCCGCCGCATGCACTTTCGGTGGCTTCCTGATTTGGATGGGCTGCCATCAAGATCCTCTCGCCCAGTTCCACACGCCAGGACTCGTTGCTCTTGTACGGCCACGTGTCGGCCACAGGCATGCAAGGCACCCCGGTTCGGGAAGATGCCGGACAATTCGGAAGGCATGCTTGCTTGCAGGTCGGACGATGCGCTCCAGACTTGTGGTGATCTTCATGCTCATGCATCTGGATGGCGACGCTCTGCTGCAGCAGAAGCGCGCCCACCAGCGCTCGCACCGCCATGGCTGGACACCGGCTGCAACAACTACGTTGGGTTAACTACGTTGTGCTGTCAAGCTGCGAACAAGTAGGCATGGCATCGACCACGACGCAGCATTCCTCTCTGAAAGCCAGCCGTTCTTGACCCCAAGCATCCCCAAGCGTACTGCATGAAGCATTTCGAACTTTTCGCCGCTCATCTGCACGGCTGCAAGCTGTTGTCTATGCAGTGTCCTCATCGTCGTCGGCATGGTCGGCGGAATGTTCCTCGGCATGGTCCTCTGTGTGCTCCTCGGCATCAGCCTCCGCGTGGTCCTGCATGTGGTCCTCGGCGTCTGCCTCCGCGTGGTCCTGCATGTGGTCCTCGGCGTCTGCCTCCGCGTGGTCCTGCATGTGGTCCTCGGCATCTGTCTCGGCGTGGTCCTGCATGTGGTCCTCGGCGTCTGCCTCCGCGTGGTCCTGCATGTGGTCCTCGGCATCTGTCTCCGCGTGGTCCTGCATGTGGTCCTCGGCATCTGCCTCCGCGTGGTCCTGCATGTGGTCCTCGGCATCTGCCTCCGCGTGGTCCTCCATGTGGTCTTCCGCATGGTCTGCTGCAAGGCTGTGGTGTGCAGCACTGATTGCATCAGGGCTCGGTATTCCCCGCCTGAGCTGCGCATGGTTCACGAAGCTGATGGCAAACTGGTTCACAGGGACACCGCCGGAGGTGTGCACAAAGGGTTCTTCACACTGCTGCTTGGGGCAGCTCTGCGCTGGCTGCCAACCATCAGCGTTGGTCTCGATGTTGGTTCCAGTCACTGCAAAGTGGGATGCCAGCTGCTCAAAGATGCCCACTTCCCGCTGAAGCTGATCCTTCTTGCTTCCTTTGTTGTGTGCAGCTTCAGACGCTGCTCCGAAGCCGAAGTGAACTTCCATGTCCAGCGTACGGATCTTCTTCATGTCCTCTTCGTTCTTGAGGAGATCTTCCAAGACGGACCACTCGGAGCCCTCGACATCAATCTTGAGATGCGTCGACATCTCACCACGCCCGGCGAGCAGCTCGGACAGCGATGTGTACTGCCGCTGGTTGACTGTTTCGTGCTTGGGGCCAAGGCAGACCCGGAAAGCATCGTAGTGGGTCTCATAGCAGTGGTGAGGATTTCCTGCGCATGAGCCCTTTGCATTCGGAGCGATCATCGCCAAAGCGGGCGAAGACTTGGGATTCTGGAAGCAGTCGTAGAGTTTCGTCGGCATGTGAAAGTCATTGCTCATGGTCTCGCTCCAGAGGTCCCGCTCCTCAATACCAAAGGAAAGACCCAGCTTGCCGTAATCACCCTTGAAGGCGGCCAGGCACCAAGCCGAGTCACCGAACAACTTGAAGCCGCCGCATGCACTTTCGGTGGCTTCCTGATTTGGATGGGCTGCCATCAAGATCCTCTCGCCCAGTTCCACACGCCAGGACTCGTTGCTCTTGTACGGCCACGTGTCGGCCACAGGCATGCAAGGCACCCCGGTTCGGGAAGATGCCGGACAATTCGGAAGGCATGCTTGCTTGCAGGTCGGACGATGCGCTCCAGACTTGTGGTGATCTTCATGCTCATGCATCTGGATGGCGACGCTCTGCTGCAGCAGAAGCGCGCCCACCAGCGCTCGCACCGCCATGGCTGGACACCGGCTGCAACAACTACGTTGGGTTAACTACGTTGTGCTGTCAAGCTGCGAACAAGTAGGCATGGCATCGACCACGACGCAGCATTCCTCTCTGAAAGCCAGCCGTTCTTGACCCCAAGCATCCCTGAGCATACTGCATGAAGCACTTCGAACTTTTCGCCGCTCATCTGCACGGCTGCAAGCTGTTGTCTATGCAGTGTCCTCATCGTCGTCGGCATGGTCGGCGGAATGTTCCTCGGCATGGTCCTCTGTGTGCTCCTCGGCATCAGCCTCCGCGTGGTCCTGCATGTGGTCCTCGGCGTCTGCCTCCGCGTGGTCCTGCATGTGGTCCTCGGCATCTGCCTCCGCGTGGTCCTGCATGTGGTCCTCGGCATCTGCCTCCGCGTGGTCCTGCATGTGGTCCTCGGCATCTGCCTCCGCGTGGTCCTGCATGTGGTCCTCGGCATCTGCCTCCGCGTGGTCCTCCATGTGGTCTTCCGCATGGTCTGCTGCAAGGCTGTGGTGTGCAGCACTGATTGCATCAGGGCTCGGTATTCCCCGCCTGAGCTGCGCATGGTTCACGAAGCTGATGGCAAACTGGTTCACAGGGACACCGCCGGAGGTGTGCACAAAGGGTTCTTCACACTGCTGCTTGGGGCAGCTCTGCGCTGGCTGCCAACCATCAGCATTGGTCTCGATGTTGGTTCCAGTCACTGCAAAGTGGGATGCCAGCTGCTCAAAGATGCCCACTTCCCGCTGAAGCTGATCCTTCTTGCTTCCTTTGTTGTGTGCAGCTTCAGACGCTGCTCCGAAGCCGAAGTGAACTTCCATGTCCAGCGTACGGATCTTCTTCATGTCCTCTTCGTTCTTGAGGAGATCTTCCAAGACGGACCACTCGGAGCCCTCGACATCAATCTTGAGATGCGTCGACATCTCACCACGCCCGGCGAGCAGCTCGGACAGCGATGTGTACTGCCGCTGGTTGACTGTTTCGTGCTTGGGGCCAAGGCAGACCCGGAAAGCATCGTAGTGGGTCTCATAGCAGTGGTGAGGATTTCCTGCGCATGAGCCCTTTGCATTCGGAGCGATCATCGCCAAAGCGGGCGAAGACTTGGGATTCTGGAAGCAGTCGTAGAGTTTCGTCGGCATGTGAAAGTCATTGCTCATGGTCTCGCTCCAGAGGTCCCGCTCCTCAATACCAAAGGAAAGACCCAGCTTGCCGTAATCACCCTTGAAGGCGGCCAGGCACCAAGCCGAGTCACCGAACAACTTGAAGCCGCCGCATGCACTTTCGGTGGCTTCCTGATTTGGATGGGCTGCCATCAAGATCCTCTCGCCCAGTTCCACACGCCAGGACTCGTTGCTCTTGTACGGCCACGTGTCGGCCACAGGCATGCAAGGCACCCCGGTTCGGGAAGATGCCGGACAATTCGGAAGGCATGTTTGCTTGCAGGTCGGACGATGCGCTCCAGACTTGTGGTGATCTTCATGCTCATGCATCTGGATGGCGACTCTCTGCTGCAGCAGAAGCGCGCCCACCAGCGCTCGCACCGCCATGGCTGGACACCGGCTGCAACAACTACGTTGGGTTAACCACGTTGCGCCACACGTGGCTATATGGGACAAGAGATTACAGGAAGAATCGGTGTAGTCGGCCAGCTCGTGCAGGTCAGAGCACGAACCTGCAGTTCTCTTGTGGCAGGGTGGTCTCTCAAGGCCCCAGCCGTAGCGCCCACCAAACTGTTCGTTCAACTTCGCCACCTGCCCGCCCCCTATTGCAGTGCAGCTGGCGAAAGGCGTGTCTGCCGCATTGTCCTACTACGCAGTGCATCGAAGAGCCGACTCTTTCGCCACTCGCGGAGCCGAGCTCTGGCATCGGACATGAAGTCGTCGCGCAGGCCTGACCGAGGCGATTCAAAGAGGATGATTGTGCTTGGTGAAGATTCGCTCGTGTCCGGAAATGGGGAAACTGACACTGGCAATCATATCCTTATACTAAATCATGTCCGACATTCAGCTGGGTCCGGTTGCACAGCCAAAGCACGAACGAGCAGTGGCACTGTTCCGTTCGGAGAATGTGACAGGGCATCTGCCACGTGACCTCAGGTTCAGGTTGCGAGCATCTTCTGCAGCACACTCTTTGCACATGAGGTGTGCGAGTATCAGTTTGCACCAGGCTTCTGGGCGAAGCCATCTTGTCAGGGCTCACATGACTTCTCACTCCAGCAGATACATTCATCAAAGCCGCTCCAAGTCAGGGATGTTGGCTGCAGACTCTGCCGCTTCACATCACCAAAAAGGCGCCTTGATTCCAAGAGCACGTGCTGTCAAGGCAAGGACTCTGCGGGCCGGGGGCACACGTTGCTGGACGATTTTTACCAAGTGGAGGCGAGCCTGTTGGAAACTGTCACCTTGGCGGCTGTGGCGGTTCTCGCTAGGAAAGTCGGGTCCTGCAGTCACTGTCATAATCGACCTCATTCCCGCATGAAGCAGGGGACCGCATGATCCATGGATACCAAAATAAGCAAGAAGCTTATCTTTTCGTGAGTGCCAAGTAGTGCAATTCAAGGCGCAGGACTTGTTCAGAGAGCCCAGAGCGGAGGCATGCCAGCATAGCCTGTGAGAAAATATCGACATGCAGATAGGGCCGTCAACAGCTAGACAGCTGGACCAAGACATGTGGACTAAGCATGGAAGGAGATTGAAAGAGGTGGACACATCTTCAAACAAATCCAATTTTACCGTTTTACCCAAGTTGATCGGCTGACACTGACAACTATAAACCTTAAACAAAAACTTCCGGTGTTTGAGAGCCAAAGCCCAGCCCAAGAAGCTCGGTGCTGGAAGGCGGGTGACAGCGGAGCCCTCTGTTCATTCTTTCAGTTGTCGGCAAAATTCTCCAATAAACTCGTTCGCTAGTTGCGAGCCCATCGCAGATTCTCGACTGATTGTGAGAACAACGGTGTGCCAGGATGCTCGCTGACTCTCTCTCTCTCTCTTTCTTTCCTCAGGCTTGAGGGCATGCCCCCGCGGGAGCAGCCCGTCTGTTGAAGGGATGCACGGAAGTACGTGCAGCAAATGTTCGCCCCTCCAAGGGCTAAGCACGACAGTACTCGCTCTCTGTCTGTCTGTCTGTCTGCAGGGTGTAGGGGTCGACAAGCGACCCTCAGGCCATTGGCCCGCCCAGCCCCACACCGTGTCAGTGAGTGGCCGGCATTGGGATACTCCAGATTGTGGCAACGAACTACCTGGCATGCCCTGGCTTTCATGCAGCACTCTTCGCTTCGCTTCGCAAGGGTACAGCCCACGTTCGTGGACCCGGGCCAAGGCCCCCGTTTCCCCTCCGCGTTGGTGGAAGAAAGGGCTTTGGGGTCAGTGGAAGGGCTTGCTTCCGGCAGCACTCTCTCTCTCTCTCTCTCTCTCTCTCTCTCTCGCTCGCACACGGACTCAGTCACTTGTCAACCGCGACGCGGAACATAGCGATTTCGGCTGATCGGCATTGGTTGATAAACGATGCCGGGCAGCGGTGTTCAGAGCAATGATGGAACTCGGCAGCCGCTGAGTACCTTTTGTCTTGTTCTTCCCTTGTGAAGGCCGAAACAAGACGTGCGAGACAGCTGCATCAGGGGCAACAAGCACATAACTCCGTTTATCTGGTGAATTCTGGAATCAGGCCGGGGCCCCAACGGAACCCAAGCCAGTGCCACTTGCAGGTGGCCCGAGAAGACGCGATGGACTAGTAGAGTTCTCATGAGACAAGAAGATGTTCGATGGAAGCTTGCGGAAACAAACGTTTGATGCATCGAAAGGCTCAACATTAAGGCTTCACCTACGAGAAAGTATAAACGTTTAGTCTGGAAAACCTCTTGGAACAAGAATGTGTCGACTGCTCCTGTCACTCTCCTGCAGCACCAACTGCAAACAACAACTGCAAAAAGCAAATCTCATTATCTCACTTCAGTGCCCTGCATCCCTCAAAAAACAAATTTTGAACTCCAAAACGTCAACCCTGTTTGTAGGTCTGAACCGCCCTAGACCCTCGGTCTTCGGAGTCTTTGCGGCATTGGTTGTAACCAAGAATCTTATCAGTTGATCTGTTGAGATGGATAGCTCTGTTCCGGCGTGTTGTGATTGTCGGCCGAGTAACCCATGGCGTGCAGTAGCTGCGACACCCTCTGCCAGGAGCCTGTCCGCCGGCAAACTTCTAAAACCTTGACGAGGGTCAGAGCAGGGGCCGTTGAAGGAGGTCAGCATAAGAAGTACCGTCTAGTGACTAGTGACTAGTGTTTTTGCAAACTTGAAGATAGTGTGAGGCCCGAACAGCCAAGGACTCATGGCAGAACAAAACTGCCTGGCGTTCTACGGATGCCACCCACATCACGCCGTCGACTGCGATATGAGTGAGACGACTGCAAAAAAGAGCATTCATTTCAACCCACCCTCTAAGGGTCCAATTTCCACGAACCAACTCCTGCCCTTACTATCCTTAGTCCTTCGCACGATACATGTGTATTGATTCCAGTGCCTTGTTTCTGAACGGAAGTGGGATGCTTGCAATTCTTTCGTCATTACTCAGGTCGTGCAGCCGTGCGACGTAGGTTTGCAGCGCGTTCCGGTGCCACAGAAGTGTAACAGGTCTACACACTGACCCCGATTCTTCGGCGCCAGGTTTAATGAAGTTGAAACCATGACTTGTAAATGCCGTCGACAGCTCGCATTCAAAGGCAACGCTGCATTTCACTCTCACCAGCCGTTCGGATAATGTTCAGCTGCCAAGGCACCGCCGAGTACGAGACCTCAGGTTGATCTCGTCAACATCACAGAATGACGCTTGGTCCCGCTTAAAGGCTTAGCAAGGGCACGAAAGCTAGGCTCCATCGTGTGCCGGAATCGACAAAGATAAGTATAACAATCACCGCTCAGATTTCAAACATCTTTCTGAGACTTTTCTGAGCATCACCTGCCGCATGCTGCATCTGTCTGCTACAAGATCGTGCATCAACGGCTTCAGATATCGCTCAAGCCGGTACGTCGGCATCGTTTAGGTTCGCCTGGCTCCTTGTAAGTTGGAAATTTGCCAGTCTTATGTTTTACCTTGCGTGTTCAGGGGGCCTGGCCCCTGGAAGTTGGAAGACGGCCCGGTGCCCGATCACGGAATTTGGGCTGCAGCAGCATGGTTCGAGGGGCCTGCTTCTCTTGGGAGCAGTCAGCCGGGACGCTGTTGAAGGCTGCATCCCCGCATTTATACAACAGCGCAGAAGCTGCAGCGCCCGGCACCAAGACTCGACTCCTCTCTCAGGTCATGCGAGTTTCTCATGATGCAGATGGAGGATGAGCTCCGAGTGTGGCTTGGCACTGGCTCCGTGTCCTGCGTGCATGCATGCACTCATCGCTGAGCTGAACCTGGGCTGCTCGGGCCGTGAAGTCGCTCTTGCCTATCAGCTCTGACAGATGGCCTGCACGCAGCACTTGCACTCATGCGGTGCTAAAATTCTGCGTTTGTCCCGTCTCTGTTTGTCTCTATGTTGCCGCAGAGGTATCGCTACACCGGATGACTTTGTTTTCTGGAGCACTGCCGGAATAGGGGCAGGCCATGGCACACAAGCGTCATCCGCAGGTATTGGGCTGAAGGGAAAGCTCAAAGCAGCATCGCCGCTATTTGGCCCTCATCATGCCTCTGAAATCTGTGAAGTTTGAAGCAAGCGGCAGCCACAGGCCGCTTCGCTGCGAGCCGCCGAGGATGTGGAGCGCTCGCTGCCAGGGACCGGCCTTCTCGCAGGCCTCAAAAAGGGCAGCTCTGAGCATGTTGAAATCTCTCAGGAACAGAGCAAAGCAGCAGAGCAGAGCTCCCTTCCTAATTGAACTGAGGGTTTTTTTTCCAATTCCGAGGGTCCTCCTTGCATTGCGGATCATTGCAGGTTGAATGGAGTTGAGTCGGACATGTGCAAGCATCCAATCCCTTGGGGCCGTGGTGGCCCATCTACATGCACAGTGCGGGAAATTTCTCCATGAGATTCCTTGAGCCTGCCCGACGAGTATGAAGTGGTGATTTGTCTGGTAGTGTGGTTTCAGGAGTTCTCTTGAAGGATAACAACTAGCCCGATACTCAAGTAAGCAATGCAGGGAAGAAGAAAATTAGCATGACCTGGCAGGGCCACGACCACCAGGCAAGCAACAAGAAGTGCAAGCAAGTAGACCGCAGCGCACCTAGCTTTGCCGGTTCCACTCACTCATTACTTAGTTACGAGTACTTGTACCTTCTGCGGCTATTTCATATCAGATTTGAGGCCATGTCTGGCCCTTCACCCACCGAGGCCGGTCTGTAGCTCCGTCCTTGCTGTTGCTGTTGTTGCTGCTGTTGTTAACTCTAAAGACGATCCTTTGGGCTATGCCTGGCTCCCGTCAACATGCGCTGACCCCATGGTTCATGCTTTTGTCAGGCACTTCTCAAAGTCGGCTTCCCTTGCAGGTTGACGTCGACGAGGTGCTCAGAGCAAGAAGGCACGTCCATCACTTCACGCACAAGCTTATCTCCATTTTTGTGTGGCCCAGTGTCGCTGGCGACGGCTGCCCAGCTCACCTCAATGACATGATGAGGAGGAGAGGTTAAAACTAGCACAAACCAGACATGCTGTGTCTGTAGCTTCCGCGAAATCACGGAGTAGCTGCAAAATCAAACAAACTAGCTTGGCTTATGGCTCTTTGCATTCAGATCCTAATCGGGCATGATGTCCAACGAGTCCGCGTGGCATCGCTGGGTTTCCAGCGACATTCCCCCGCCATTCCCAAGATGCGAAAAGAGAGCTGCCACTGCAGACCCTTCCTGGGCAAGTCATGCCGTGAAAGCTTTCGGGTCGAGGCCTGTACATTCTCTCTGACATGAGCCATAATGAATAAACACCGCGGCTTGCTGAAGAGATGGTGCGAGTACTGCAATGTCGAGATGTATCATACCTTCGTGATCCCTCGGGCCTGCTTCAAGCAGCATCGAGGACATGTGATGTCGCATCTGGCGCGGTCTCCGTACAATACAATCGCAAAAGGATGCCAAATGTCTCGCATGCTGAGATGGCCGGGTTGAAGCTCGCAGCACCAATATCACCAGGCCTGCAGAACGCAGTGACTCCCTCCTCGCGTCTGCAGAAATGCTGTGCTGCAAGCCGTGGCCAGAAGCATGCTTTGCACAACAGACGGTAGAGTCCACCTTCCATGAAAGTGTCCAAAAATATCAAGGGTCTGTTCCCAGCCGCTCGATTTCTCCTTTGGCGCACTGAGATTCAACACACACATTGGAAAACTTGTGGGTCGACTGCCGACTTGTTGAGCCAAGGCACGCAAGAGGCCATGGCTGTTCGGAGACAGATTGGATCCAGCGGCTTCCGCAAGAGAACTGCGCTCCTAGGCTGGCCAGCTCGGTCAGGTTGTTGCGAAATCGGCCAGAAGCTACCAGCTCCGAGGAATTCCGAGGAACTCTTCCTCATTTGACTCCAAGGGACTGCGCCAACAGCGACAGGGCCTACACAGCACGAGGCACACGACCCAGGCATCTTTGCAGTTTTGACTCTGATGTATTTCTGTATGTCTCGCTGGAAGTTCTTCTCTGCCACGACGCACGGCAGTGAGCTGCAGCCATGGCCTTGTTCCAGCTCAAAGCGGCCATGGCAGAACCCAGGGTGACATGGTCCACCAAACCTGCCAAGCTGATTAGGACTTTGAGGCGATGTCATGAGATGTCTACCAGCAACATCTGCTGAAACCCCAATGACCCGAAATTCCGAAATGCCTCTGCGTTTCAGCACGGCCGATTCCACTATCTTTAAATTCGTAGTAAGCCCACCATCGCTCTGAGTTGTGCCTTGCTGGCACGCCTCCGATGCCAATGCCTGGGCAAAGCGCCAGTCGCCAAGGGCAGCTGCCTCAAGTAAGGCGCGAGCGTACTAGACCTATAGTCGACACTGAGGGCAGGCGCGCGCGTCGTTTCGTGCAGCTCAATGGCAAATGCAAGAATAACCTTTGCGGCCGAAGCTCTGCAACAGCAGCATTTCGAGCAACTATGTTTGCAGTGAGACCTGCCGTGCTTCACCGAGCTGCACAGTGACAGTATGCACTCACTTTCTGGCTCAAGGGAGGCCGTAGATAGTTTCAGTTGCTCTAAGGAGCAGCATGCGAACCCAGTGCCCACATTACACAATCCTATGAGTGCACTGCTGCTTCAGGGTCAGAGGCAAGACAAGGCTGCATGATATGATATACCCGAAGCCTGAAGCAAAACCCCGGCTGAAGCTTGCCTCTGTCGCACCAGTGCCGGAGAGAAAACAATGAGGTGGCCCAACGACGGGTAGCCCTTCCAGCACTCCTTGGCCAGGAGCCATCTACCAGCACAACGACTTTACCCCTTGGTTAGTCAATCCTTGACCATGGTGCCTCGACTGAGCCAGTCGTGCAGGTGCGTGATTTTTGCCCGTGACTATTGCCGCGCAGGCTTAGACCCGCAGGGGTCGCAAAAAGATTCTTTGAGCTTTTCCCGAAATATTCCTTCAACTTGCCCAAGCGATTCCCTAAACCCCAAGCCCTAAAACCCTAAGCCCTAAACAGTAGAAGAAGACACCGGAGTGGAAAGAATATTGGTTGAGAGAAACGCCTGAAGTTGATGAATCGGGCTTAGACCTCCAGGTGTGAGAGTGCTATGACGTCCTATATATGTTCCAGAGATTCCAGAGCAGGGTCGCAGGACATGCCACATGCGATGACGACGCAACCTCTTGTAGCATGCAGACATGTGGACCTCCCGACTGCTGATAAAATTGAATCCGATGAAACAGCTGAGCAGCGGCAGCAGCAGCAAATGAGGTCCATGCTGCAGTCTCGTTGGCTGGGTCCACGGCCAGAATCATACGCTGTCATAACGTCACACGGCCAAGTGTCATCGCGGCTGTAACATGGAAGATGTTCACTTCCAGCAGGTCATGTCCTCGGCAGCCATTTTGCGTGACTGGGCTCAAACCCGATCAGGCCGAATATGCTCAGCCGATCTAGGTGGGAATGCAGCATTGCTTTCAATCGCTCAGCCTTCCGAGTTACTGATTTCACCCAGCCCGATCAAACGAAAACAAAGATGTAAAGGAGAGTATCTACAGTATATTTCTCAGTGTATGTTTAATATGTTTGTCAGAGCATACAGCGCCACCAAATGAAGCTCTTCCCTGTTTCTCTGCCATGCGTCGCATAGACTGCAGGACGAGCAAAGCCGTCAGCAGGCGCTGCTTCTTGGCTAGGCCTGGCAACTAAACACACATGGCGAACCTGCGAACACTCACACTCAACATTCATCAGCATCTGTTGAGAAAGCAGTCTGCACGAGTTGCACTAGTGTTGCACTTGACATCCAGTACGTGTATGTGGAATCATTTGAAGATGGCACGAGAGGCTTCGTGTGCATTTAGAGTCTCGGACACTCCTGTGACTTGTGGCGGGGCATCCAGATCAAGCTCCAAGCCCGAAGATGGGGAGCGTATGCAGCATCCCCTCAGCGCCTGTCAAGGTCCATGTAACCCTGCGCGGATCAGCAATCCATTCTTCCCAGTCGAAGGCCAGGGCGCCTCTCTGAGGATGCTGCATTGATCTCGCCACTTGTCACTTTGAGTCTGCCCTCAGTCCTCCTGGTCTCTCGAGCTCTCGTGTCCTACTGGGAGTGGTACGTTTTAAGCAGAGTTATGAAATTGCGATCCCTTCTCTAATCGGCTCGGCCTTTTGCTCCTGATGGATGCAATTTAACTCTGGCTCTGGGGGAAGTTAAAGAGTTTGGCGGTTGGCGCCCTGCCCTCCTGGGCCGACTACGAGAACACAGCACCTGCCCTGCCAGAACAGAACGGAAAGCTTCTGCGGCCACATTGAGGTTCTCATCGGATCGGTGGCTAGGCCGGGGTCTCTGGCAAGGCCGATGTTCAAGGGCCTACTTGGCCATCTTGGCCCTGAGCCTGTTCGGCTTGGAACGTACACGAGCGATGCAGCTGCCGCTCTAGCTTGCTTCGTCTGCACAGCATGTCCCAAAGCAGAGAGTTCAAGGGCAAGTGATTTCAAAGCTGCATCACTCGATCTAATTATGCTCAATTTGCTAAGCGGGGCTGCCTTGAAGTAAGCTTGCCCCTAACACTACTGATGTCACCTCCCCAGTCTTTTTGGCCCCAAGTCACGACCTCGCCATCGCTTCGCAAAGCAGCGAAGGCATAAGCCTCAGCGCAGGGCCAACAGTTGCATGCATCGCACAGCTGCACCACGCACGCTCATCTGCTCGCCGAGATGCCGAGGCGACGATTTGCCGGACGTTGGTCAATTGTGCTTGAGCTGAACTGCTGTCGCCACCAGCAGGCACATGGCCCCAGGTCACCACAGTTCCGTCAAACCGAAGGGCAGCGAAAGCGGCCCCTGAAGCGACAACGTCCCGCACTTCAGAAAGCTTTGTCTTCACACCAGAGCAGTCTGCCCCAAACCGCTGGCAGCCCCACGTTGATACAGTTCCATTTTTGCAGAGCGCAGCAAATGCTCCACAGGTTGCGCACACATACTTCACGCCATGCAGCTCCTCCTGTACTCTTACACAATCTCCTCCAAATTCCGGGGCACCCCAGCAGACGACGGTGCCGTCTGTCTTTACAGCTGCGAATGCAAAGCATGTTGAAACAACATCTGTCACATCGTAAAGTTGATCCCGAACGGCAGTGCTGTCACCTCCATAGGTTCTCGAGCCCCAAGTAACTACCCTACCATCCTCGCGGATAGCCGCGAAGGCACCTGCAAATGTGCTGTTGCAGGCTTTGACGTCTCGAATAGAATGGAGCTCAGATTCAACCTCAGAGCTGCTGCCACCCAGCTTAGGGCAACCCCAAGTTCGGACGCGTCCATCGTTGAGAACAGCAGCATATGCACCGGACATGGAGCCCTGGCACGCAGCAATCTGTCGAACGTTGTTGAGCGGTGGTGGGGCGGCCATACTGCGTGTGCGACCCAATAGGATCACACTGGAGTCAAACTTGATTGCAGCAAGACCATGTGGAAACACCTCCAGTTTTCGGACCTAGGGACATCTCGAAACTCAATCTCGTGCCGTCTCTGAGTACTTGGGTAGGGGCCTGATTTTGACGACATGCTGCCTGCTGCAAGCTTTCGTGCTCGCCATGCCAGCCGGAATGGCCCCACATCACCTCGGAATTGGTTTTGGAGGGCTCGCATGGAGGGTGTTGCACTGCAAGGCCAACGCACAAGCCTGCTTCATTCTGCCTCATTAGCCCTCTTTAGCAGAGCAACCACAGTTCCATCCAAAAGGAGTGCAGCTTGGGCGTATTCCGCACCAAGGACAGTGTCAATGTCTTGTAGTCGTGCCTCGGCAGAGATGAACGGCAACTTCCCATAGCGGGGCCAACATTTGCACGAAGCTTAGAGTGCGCACATGCCGTCGCACCAACTTTCACCGCTGTTGGATTTTTCTAGTATGTTCTTTTGCCAAGTCATGAAGGCCCCGCCCCACTCTAACCGGGTGCCAGAAACACAGCAGCCATCTGCTGTGTGCTGCTGCCGCAGCATGGCAGTCGCCACGCTAAAAGTCGCTGTACAATGAAACCAGGGCCTCTAGTGCCGTGGGTCCCACTCCCTCTGGGGTTACTTACGGGGTTTGCCGTGTTTTGGAGTGGGTTTCAGGTGGGTTTAGGATTCGTCTGGGATGGTTTGGGTGGGTTTTGCCGGGTTTCGTGTGGGTTTTCCTGGGTTTTGTCATGGCTTCTGGCGGGTTTGGGTGGGTTTTGCTGGATTTGTGTGGGGTCTTGGTGGGTTGGGAGGGTTAGGGGTTTGGGTGGTGAGGTTTGGAGTGGGTTTTCTTGGGGATGGGTTTGGTGGATGCACATCTGCGGTTTTATGGGGACCAACCCTCCTGGATGAAAACTACTAGTTGAGACCGAGACTAGACGTGTCTCAGAATTGACACGAACGCTCAGACAAGGGCGGTATGATTCGGAGAAGAGAGGGAGAGTTCGAGCGAGAAAGAAGCCGAAGTTACGGAAGGCTCCCTTCTGCCCCGAATACCACACTGACACTCCCTTTGCGCCACAACCGCTGCGCCGCCTTTAGACAACTGCCTCGGGACCAAACACAGAGGCACATCCAATCCAATCCAAGGCCTCTTGTCATGCGTCCCACCCGATTTCATGTGGTGCCACGAACCCGGGAACAGCGGGCAAGGAAGCTACATGAAGAAGCAGAAACTTCAATGCGAACCGAACCTGCCAGAGACACCGCAAGTTTTAAGGAGCCGGAATGGCATGGAGCAGCATTAGAATGCTCAGCTCACAGTGCGCCGGTTTTCCCACGCGCTTGCTGGTCGAAAGGGGGTTTGCATCTGCAAGTGCAAAGGAACGAAGCGTCACGAAGTCGGGCGAACTCAAGCAACATAGCAGCGAATATTGCAACTCAAATCCATGAAGCCTCCCCGAACGGCAGGCCCTGTAAATCGAACTGTTCCTGCAGTGTTCCTGCGCTCCCGGCCTGAACGCGGGACGAATCTCCACCCCTGTCTGGGTCTCCCCAGGTCACCACCGACCCATCGCTGCGCACGAGGGTGAAGGCAGAGGACCATCTGCAGGAGAAAAGCCTGTACGAAGGTACAACAACAATTAAACAGCACTTGCATCTGCACGTACAATGTCGCACGGCAGTGAGACTTACTACTCACAGTACACACTACAGCCCTCTGATCCCTTCGTCCTTAATTTGGCGTGCGAATTACCAAGATTGGACTTTACGGACTGCCAAAACCCTTCTGCTTCCCTCCTGTCTGGTCGGATGATGGCGGTGAGCACGGTCCCGTCTGCAACCTGCTCCTCCTTCAGCGTGCGCCCTGGTGTCAGGACCCTGTCTCCAGCCAACAGCCTTTCGATTTGAAGCTCGAAGGCCTTCTGCGCCTGGCAAGAAAGGGAGCAAACCGGCCGGTGCATGGGAGCAAAACCTGGTCACAGCGGTGGCCTGGCTCTGCACCACAAAGACAGGGCTGTCCGGTACAGCTGCGATGGGCACTGCTCGCCCACTGAGCAGCACCACGTTGACAGTGATTGCCATGCGGGGAACAGGGAGCTTTACTTCTCCGCGTCGGGGTTGACGTAAGGTCGGAATCTATTCAATGTCTGGCGATTATCGGGTGAGATGTGTATAGACAGCAATTGTGAAACGCACCGCGGCCTGCGACATAAGCCAGCACGAGACTCGGTTGATGCTCAAAGGCTGAGGCGGTTGGCTTGCAAAGGCAAACTGAGGCTTCAGAAGCAATCGTCTCTCAAGCTGTCATGCAATATTTGATGAGGCGGCTGCTTGCAGGGTCTTCTGCAGTTTAACTGCTTAATGCTGAGGAACTTTCACTTAAAACATTTCGTGCATCCACATTCTCAGATTTGGGTCAGAGTGATGTCAGTGTGAGAACGTTATGCAGTGTCAAGGTTGCATGCAGAGGCAGAGCCAGTGCAGATGTTGTAAGCTTGGGTTCCTAGCACTGAGACTGGAGTCGAAGCCAACAGACAGTTCTAGGCTCATCGGCTCATCCTGGCCTCGGACTCTCTCAGCGGACGGCACCGGGCCAAGAGCAAGCAGTCGGCGCAAGGCCATGGGCACCGCGGGCTTCCCAGCTGTGAGGCTCGAACTGAACACAAGGCTGCAGCCTCATTGAGTCGGACTACCCAGAAACAGGTTCAACAGGATTATGAGTGCGAAAATTCTTTCCGCTACCAGTATCCACAAATCACTGGACAGGTAGACAGCTCCTTCACCTTGAAATTCTGTTAGATGCATTTAGCCCACAGCCTCATCCTCGAGGAGGACCATGAGCCGATTTATCCAGGCCTTCCAAGCACTGCTGGAGTTCACCAATCATGCAAGGGCGGGTGTACCCGACTCTATTTCGACGCACCCGTCCGACTTTTCTGTGATCGGGATTTCCGAGTGCCTTTGCCTCTTCTCCTGCGTTGTAATTAACCTTTGCCCATGCCCCATATCATTGTCGCCTCAGGCCTCCGAGCACCTGGTTCGGCACTGCCGGTGCTTCATTCGGCACCTTGTGGCGCACTGTATGCTCTTATGTAACTAGAGTCTAGAGGATGCACAGATCACCAGGAGGCTTCCCCTGTCCATTGATAGGTCTGCCGCACGACAACAGCTGGTCATTCAAGCTCTGATCGACATCCGGGGGATTATTAAAATTAAACGTTGAGTATCGTCTGCGTGTCTGTGCCTGCTTGGTCAAGGGTCAGAGGCTGGGGTTTGCTAGATTGAATCTGCCTACCACTGGCCAAGGTGCCGGCCCATGGAAAGTCACCTTAGGTGCCACAGGTGTGGGCGAGCTTGCAATTCTTCGAGACAAACCTGCCATCCAAAGACTAGCGCAAACCCGGCATTGACGAGGCGGCTTTGCCACTCTGATGACAAATACCGTTTACAGATGCTTACAGTGCGGCTAAGACAGCAAAGGGGTTCCTTAACTCGCATGCAAGTTCGGGGCAAGACCCTGCCATGCTGTGTTACTTTCGCAGTGGAGGGCGCAGTGCATGACAATGGTGTGACTTGCATAGTCGCGCGGGAAGAGGAACCCTCGAACTCCGGAGCTTCTCTGCAAAATCGCAGCAACAAAAAGCAAAACACAACCCCACCCAAATCCAACAAAATGTAGAAAACACCAGTACTACCGAACACAAGACTGAAAACTTAACGTTTGCATCTTTTGCAAGCGAAATATTCCTCAACACGCCCAGCTGCCAGAGAGAGGATCTTGAAAATAGGCCAGCCACTCTCCTTTGCTGGCAATGCATGGATGAGGCAGCTGCTTCGAAACTGTTCCCAGAAGGACGACTGGGCTTGGGCTTGGAGATTTCACAGGAATGCCAGCGCGAGCCGACACGAATAGGGAAGTCGACCTTCCAGCAGCGGATCCCACTTACATGCTCTCACAGACAAGTGGCCACGAGGTTCGTCCATCGCACTGCCTCGACCAAATTGTTTGAGTTCTGAGTCGCGGCATCTTGAAGCTTCCACGGGGTCCGGGGCCGGGCAGCGAGGTAGCCTGTCACCTCCATTCGATTTAAATCGAGTGAGAAGGCAGCACTGCCTTCAGCAGGCGAAGGCGGCTGGTGATGATGCTCGGCCTTCAAGCACAGCTCCCTCATGTCACATGTCTGTGTCTTTTCTGCTTGGTACTTGTAACAACGCCTGTTCCTCGCTCTCTCGTTTGGTGTTACCCTTTTCGGTGCATCATCTTCATACGCTACCGCTACTAAGCATGGACGAACGTCTCTGTCAGGAACCTTCTTCCCACGCACACTCCTCCCGGAAGCATGCGTCTGACCCCCAAGCTCACGTTGATCTATGCGTCCGCAACCAGTAATTGGGGCGGGGCTGGCGTGTCCTTCAAGCGATGCCCCTCCTATATACCAGAGCGTTGCGATCCAAACTGGCTGGCGGACCTTTCTCGCTCATTCGTGATTGCTTTTTTTTTGGCTTGCTTCGTTTTGGCCTTGCGGCATGGACCCTTTCGCAAGCCAAGCTCGTCTATTTGTGTAGATATCTGCAACCAATCAGCACGAGCTCTTCGTTCCAAATCCGTTGCCCTGCCCACCTCCCGCCTCCTTTTGCAAACTCATCTCTTCGACTGGAGAAGTGTTTCGCGCTCAGGGAGCGTTGCTGAGCCTCGAACAAATTCCAAACATCCTGCTCCGCAGTCTCTGAGAAGCACAAAGGAATCTCCTGACTTGCGAGCTGTCAGCCGTGCCAAATGCCGAGAGGGATTGTGCACAGAATATTCTGTTCTGCGGGAGCGAATGAAGCCGTGCGACTGTAAGAAGGACAGATGCACACCTGTCTTTTCCTGTGCAGCGGGTTTGGAGGGTGCAAGTTGCGGAGCTGACACATGTCCACCTGCCTCCAGAGTCTCGATCTCATGGATGGCATGCTTGCCTACACAGCGCTTCAGCAAAATTGACCATGTCTTCAAGCATGCCACTGATCGCCACTGGTCTGACTGCACATTGACTGACACTTCGAGCTTGGAGCTTCAGCGGTGCCGAAGCGGAGCGAAACGTTCACTTAAGGACTGGCATGCCAGCAGATTCTCGGATTTGCGACAGAGCTACACCGCCCCTTCGACAAACAATGAGCTTCTGCTGAAACGTCCGGGCTGCACAGCTGCCCTTGGCGTTGCCTGTAGGAGCGCCGTGCTTTCCGTCCTGTCAGTAGGACAGCAATGGTGGCGCTGCACACATTGACGCGAAGATACGCGAAGCTAGTCTGACGCCTGGCAACTGGCAATGTGCCGCTCCAGTCCGCGTGTCGAGCGTGCACTACGGCTGATCGAACCAGGAACACCGACGACATTTGTAGCACTGTAGCTGTGCTCAGCTGACCCCAGGCCCGAAGCCTAACTGCGGAGCCAAATGCCTCCCAGTCATCAAGGCTCCACGGCCCGAAGTACAAGCAGGAAGTCGCTCGCTTTGTCTGGACACTCTGTGGCTTGATGTTCCGAGAAGGCTCGAGCTGGCGTCATTTTCACGCATGCATCGCCCCCGCCTGGAACCACATGGCATGGCTCCGGCCGTCAGTGAAAAACCTGCAGCCGATGCTAGCCACAAGATCCAGAGCACCAGCATAGTTATGACTAAAGAGACAGAGATACGATGGGACGGCGATTGTACAGCAGCTGAGCGCAACACAGCAGGAAAAGCTGAAGACTGACCTTGTTGCAGGGTGTGGTCTTCCAACACTATCATCTAACCAACGACGTTACTCACCCTCTTGAGCTCGTGCAGAGTGCAAACACAAAGGTGATTTAACATACCCCGGCTACAACACTTTTACCTGGAAGCAGTTTGTCTGAAAGTATGGCCAGGTGTCTTGTCCAAGCAGGCAGCTTGGCGCCTGGGGCGAGAAACTTCCGTGTCGCAGTCTGAATCCTTATATCTTCGAATGAGGCGAAGCCATCAGCTAAGTCGAACTGAGAGAGAGACCAAGGCACAACCGAGTCCTCTCTCGTCAATGGACTCATGAGCAACACTACATCCCATGCCACCAGACAAACCCGAACACAATTACGAGTAGCTTCTTTTGACATGAGAGACATGGCCAAGCCATCCCGCGACCTCAACCTGCACAAACCTTCGTAAACCGGTTACAAGAGGCAAAACCATGCACTGACTGGCGGAGACGACCTACGGTTGTCGACAAATGGCTCATGCGTGCAGTGGACTCCCCAAAAAAGCGAACTGATACCCACGGCAGCTCCAAACAAGCAATGAGGCGCTGCCTACGCCACAAGCTACAAGTATTCAATTCAAGTCCACACCGCACACACGCTGCCTGCCGGCTGCCTCCACGTGTTTGAGTCCGAAACTATGTGCAAATACGAGTACCTAAGTGTCGCCTGCCTTCTTGCTGTCGGTGAGGTGCAGCGAATAAAGATCGCGAAATCTGCGAACCCAGTCCTTCCTCCTGGGCTTCGAGAAGCCAAACCGTCGTAGTTTTGGTTGGCAAGGTAACAACAACACGTCGCAGGCAAGGACGAGCAGCCCCATGTCCAAGAGCATGAAGTCCCCAAACTGGGCTTCGAAGGCGATCTTGTGCAGCTGCCTTACGTGACACAAGCCACGGCAAACTCCCGAGAGCCGCTACAGCCACTCGCTTGCCTATAGAGGCTCCGGCCCATGCAAGCCATCACGAAAGCCTTCAACAAGACCTTCTCGCGCATACACCTGCGGCATGTCTGCTCTAGAATCAACGGATCGGACCCAGCTCCTGTAAAGGCTACCGGTGCCCGTCAGACTCCTGAAATCGTACGCTACAGCGCTACACTACAGTAGCCTGTCCCAACAGAACCGCACTTCTGTCACTCTCTATGGAAGCAGAATCTGCTGACGACTCATCAGTCCGAGGCAGTGGCCAGAGCTCTGCGCATTTGCTCGCGCAAGCTCATCCAATCCACGCTGCCCATGTCCTTCGCCGTGACTGCTTAGAACCGGGGGCACGAAAGCAATATGATGCTTCCATATGCTTCCCCCAATCCAAACCACCCACCACCAGTTAGGAGCTGAAATCGTCCGTAGATACAAGCTCATGCCGCCCCCACTCCAAGCCACAAGTGCTCCTCCTCTCGGATTTGTTGGCAGGACCTCGCAGCACGGAGACGAGCTGTGAAACAGAGACAAACGGACAGAACCCGAAGCAAACAGACGGACAAAGACAGAAAAGTGCGAGAGAGCCAGATAAGGAAAGAAGTGGGGAGGAGTATGGACTCAAGCCCGCCAAATGTCGTCTGCAACAACCAGGCATCAGTGCCTATTTGCAAGCACATTTGGGACCAGGCATCTCTGCAGGTCATGCAAAACGGCTGTGAAAAGTGCAAACTACCGGCATGTTGGAATCCGCTGCGACGCTGGAGAGACTGTGGTTCACCTGTAAAACCAGGCGGCCTACAAGTCAATGCTCGCCGAGGAGCAGTAGCCTCCGGAAGTCTGCTATGCACGCTGGATTCTCCTGTCCACAAAGGCAACATGAAGCTCGTAGAAGTTGTTTCGCCCAGTCAAGAGAAGGTGCTGCAATTGCTGTCAATGTCGTTCGCGACGTGTCAGGTATGTTACTGCCAACGCATTCTAGGGCTTTCGGATCTGGACCTTGCTTCTACCAATTTTGGGCCGCATTGCCAAGCTCGCTCTCAACTCGGCGCTCCCACCTGTCCGCATCGCCACGTGCCCTGCACCAAGACAACGTGTGCATTGAAACCCTGAGCTGTGTTCCCTGCCAGCGGACCTCTTGAAAGGCAGTCTGCTGACATGATGGGAGTCAACGTTCGGAACTCACAGGTTATACGGGTTGCAGAGACACATTGACCATACGACGTGCTAAGTAGCCCAAAATACTGCAAATTTGGTGAATGACACAACTCCAAGCCGGCGCCGTGGAAGTCGGCACTCTCAATCTCAAACATCTTTAGACGTTCAGCAACCGCCTTGATCAGAACGAACTTCTTGAACGCACCGAGCCATCAAAAAGAGGGCCTCCTCAAGTTTGATTTCTTCTCCTGCTCGGCCTCCCAAGTCTCGTCATTCTGCTTTCGAGAAGCAAGGTCTGTGTCCATGTCTGGCGAAGGAGTCAGCTCGAACCATTGAAGCCACTGACTCAATTTGAACACTGGGACGCTGCTGCTGGAAAATGCCTGTTGTGACCTCTTTGGCGGCTTTCGCGGAGCCCACGCAGCACCTTGAGAGCATCGACAGTCACATCCTCTGCTTTATTCTATCTCTCCTCAACAAAAAGTAGCGGAAAGCAGCCGAGTCAGCAAGCGGATTCCAGGAAGTGCATCCGAATGTCTCATCTGAGGCCAGCTCTTTTCGCAAGGAGAATGAAGGAAACTCAGCTGCTGATGCAAAAGTCATGGCGATGATGCCAAAAAGACCCAACACACGTGCATGCAGAGATGTCCAATGTACTTGCGTATGCAAGTAAGAACCTACTATCGCCACTCAGTCTAGCAGAGTCTCGCCACCTGTGTACCGGTGTGCATTCTGTACACGTACGTTCATAACAATTGATTCCTGCACCGTCACCTGCTCTCGGTTTTTTTAGTTTTGAACTGGGAAACTGAGCAATGATATACTCCTGATATACTCAAGCAGTCGCTCGGCTCGCAAGCCACAGCTGAAGTCATACCAACGGGCATCCGATGCGTCCCGACATGTCCCGACCCACTGCCGGCGTAGTCAGTGAACCCCAAACCTTCACTGCATACAGTATTGAAGGTTCCAGGCCCTCCACTGACACAAGTAGCCCATCATCCCGCGATCAATGCTGTTGTCGAGCTGCTGCAGTGTCAAGGCAGGCTGCAAGTGGTCCTGGTATTGACAGTACCTGACCGGAGTTATACAAGGTTTCGGCTCGGGGGAGCTTTCCTCTGTGTTGAATGCACCCTTTGACTCACAAATCCTCCTCGGGATTCCGTCAGCCTGCCGATCAAGCCCTGCTAGATGTAACTATCGGCATGCAAGTGCTGAGCGGGTTTGGTCCCTTGCCCGAGCATCCTGCGATATTCTACGCCTATCCTTTCCCGATCAGTGCAGCTTACGGGCACCCTGTAGTCACCACATCATGCTTGCGACAGAATACATGTATCTCAGAGGAGTCTATGCTTGCTCCCGGTTTTCTCATGAATCGCTAATCTGGTCGGGCACGGTCCGTTTCTGATGTGTAGGAACTTCATATCTTCCTTGCGGTGGAAAGTGCAGCTGTTCACAGGGATCCTGTGTCGGAGCCGCCATCCTTGCGACAGTTGTCTTTCGTCCCTCACGTTGCGGATCGAATGTTTCGAAAGCATCAACCATGAAGGGAATTGGGATCCTCGCAACTGCCGTGCTCGGCGACCCTAACATCTGTTCCTGTCTGGAACAACGTTAAGTGTCACGGGGGAGCCCGGCCTCATACCTGGGAGGACGTGGGGGGGATGCCATGGGGTGGAGTAGCACCGGATCCCCGGATCGGTGCGATGCACATGCCGACTCCCTGCATCTACGAGTTTTGTGTGGCCTTCGCTCGTGGACAAGGACTGGGGTGCCCCACAGCTCCGGCCCGCGTAGCGTCGGCTCCTCACCTCTGAACTCTGGTACTGTTGGCGCTACGGCACACTTAATCCAAGCATGCTACTGTGGCCACTCCCGTGGGTGTACAGTTGATACCAACTGCGCTGGATGTGCCAGCATGCTGAGGGCCATGTCTTCAAACACATTCACATGGCACACATGGCATAGTCCATGCTCGCAGAGTCAGAAGAACCGCAATGCAGAAGTATCAACGCATCGTCAGGTGCTTCCCGGGCGGGCTGAGATGAGCACTTCGCCAAAGCAGAGACCAACCAGTGACCGGCCTCAGTCTTCGTGAGGAGTTGTTGGCCACGGAACAGATGAGCCCGAACAGGCACTGGAAACATCAGGGCCATGTCTATGGCTTTTGCTTCCGAGAGCCGCACACATCACTGCGAGACCAGGTTGCCTGTCGTCCTTCAGAAAAAGTACATGCTATCTTCCATCATGCCCAAGCGTACAGGAAGCATGCGTGCTCGCGCTTCAGGTCTGATTGAGGCAGCTTCGACACACCCTGCGACCACCAAAAGGAGCCAACATTTCATTCTAGAGTTCTAATTAGAGCTGGCCACACACACACAGCCGCAGTCACACAGGCAAAGCAAGCTGAACAAAGTGGAGTAAGTGCCTTCAAACCGGGCAAGTTCTGTCCACTTCCATTTTTGTTGCGCAATCTGCCGCCGCACCTTGCAGGTCACTCTCCGACAAGTCAGTTCCGAATGCCCGGACTTGCCTATGAGCTGAAACCTAACATGTAGCCTCTGGCAGTACATGTATATGTCCCAGGCTCCCATGTCATCCTGCCGAAACCGTGGCGAGGTGCTGACATGAGACGTGGTACCGGTCAAGCATCTGTTTCCAGTTGCAACATGGGTACATCCGCTTTTCCTGTTTCTTCTTTCTTGCTGATTGCTGGTAGGCACGGACGCACTACCTGTACATCGTGAGAGAGAAAGTGAGTGTGAAGGGCATGTCTTGGCCTGGTTGCTTGGACATGCAACACACCTTCTACAACTTTCAACCATGTCCACTCGCATTCTTGTGGTCTCTGTGCGTTCCGCACAAGAGGCTGTGCAAATGGGAAGGAAAAGAAAGACAGGTATGGGGCCCAACAGCAACCTCGACTGCATCATTTCCATGGCGAGGCATCGCCGTACCAACTCGCCACCGCCTCAAGGCTGGCATAGGCCGTGCATATCTGAAAGAGGAGCGGGAATTCCTTGGCGATCCAGGCTGCTTGCCGGTCAGTCAAAAAAACCTAGTTAACACGGGTTCACTATCAAGCGATTTCTGCATGCACATTATATAATGAAAACATCTTCTTGTCGCTGCAAAGGCTTCTTTGACTGCGTCGGCCTCGATGTAACCCGTGGCGATGTTGTCGGAAATGAGGCTGAAAAGCGCACTGTCGCCCCAAAGCGGGAGGTCCCCTGAGACAAAGGCCCCTTTGACCCCAGCCTTGGTGATCACACCCTCGAACTGCTTCAGGCGGCCCAAGACCCCGGCCTTTCGCAGCACTGAGGCATCTCGCTTCGACCAATCTTCATGAGGAGATTCTTAGGTTTTGGCGAGGTTTACGTCGCAAGTTCCTTGGAGAATTCGCAACTGCTGGCCTTGTAAGTCTCCTTGGCTGCATCGTTGCCTCCGAAGGTTGCAGCAGCCCAGTCGCTACGCCACTCTGTATAGGCATCTGCGATCATGTCCTGGGATTTGCGACATGCACATCTGCATAACCTGGAGAGACAAACCATGCACTTTGGAGGATAACTGTGAAGGCCTCTATCAAGATTCATGATGTGCGTCTGCCAGATTGTGTTGCTTTAAACGACTTGCGGAGATCGCCTTTCGCAGACAGCATCAACCCCTTTCTGCCGACGAGTCCTGTGTGTAGAGGCTCCAGCAATCAGCGTCCTTCACGTTCTTGAGCTGAACGAGCCCGGCGACTAGCCTGACCAAACAAGCAGTGCAAACGTGTGCAGGCGAAGTGCTGACAAGCAAGCCCAAACTGCAGCAGCGCACTGCGTCGCGCCCATCTCGCCTGTGAGCCCTCCAACCGTCGGCTTCTACAGTACTTGCGGATCTGCTATAGAACCGGCTTAGAGGGGTGTGAAGTCATGCTCCAAAGAGGTGTGTTTTCTGGCGCGCAGCTCGGTCACCAGGCTTGACTGATGCTACAAGCAATCTGCAACTGTGGCTTGCTGATTGGATTGTCCTGGGTTCATAATATTCATGAAAGCCTTGTAGACGCTGTGCGATTGACTCTAGCGACCTACGTCGGACCTACATTGCTCTGAATGCTCACCTCGGGATTCATTCCTTCCCCTCATGTCTTGAATCCTCGCGTGCCCGCCTCATCAAGCTGATGTGCTCTGAGCAGGCAGGACCATCACCGACCCAAAGCAGCGGAAGATGCCCTGCTGGGGAGATGCCCTCGGCCACGTACTTTGCTTTCATGCTGCCCCAGTCAGCCAGGGCATGCAGCTTCTCTGAGAAAACGATCTGGCGAGACAAAACTGACATGCTTTGGCTCACCTAGTGCACAGATTTTTGATCATGTTGAGATTGACTCAGGCCTTGTTGGCCAAGAGGAAGAACCGCAAAGCCCCTCCGCGACCGGAGATTGGAGCAGGCAGCGCTAAGTACTCCAACCTCAAGCCTTTTTCGAGCTCCTGCCCAAAACACGTTTGTGATAGGGCATGCGTTCGAGTCTGCGCCTGTCGCATGCGCTCCAGGAGAGTCTGCGATGACCCGTCTCATTTTCTCTATTCTTGCCGTGCACATGGAGACTGGAGATTAGTACTGGAGATTCTCGGTGAACATCTTAATCTTCCTAGATTTTTGAGAATTTTCCGGCACTCGAAGAGTATTGGCATCGCGCTCTCTGGGGTTGCGCGACAGAACATCCAGAAGAAAAGCGTGTTCGAAGGCAGGGGGTCCAGCGTTGAGCGTTGTAATGAACTTGAATGAACTTGAAATCATGGGATCTCTGTGCAGCTCCGGTCCTTGGGTTCCTCCGCTGCGAAGGCTGCCACTGCCTGGTCCATGGCTCCAACCGCTGTGCTGAGCTCTTCGAGCCAGTCTTGAGCCGCTCGCTTCGCGATGCCAGGCTGACGTCGACTCGTGATCCTATAGCAGTCCGGTCCCTTTCGTCGTGGTGCCTCGCGCCAGACAAAGCGCGCGTGCATTCGCAGAAGCAAAGCATCACTCAACACATGTCGCTGGAACTGCTGACATTGGACAAGCTGTACGCAAAGCTTCTTGCATGTCGCTGGACCCCCAGAACCCCTACGGATCTCAGGATTCACAAACTTAGGCAGAGGTGCCTTATGCCCAAACCCAGGTCCCTAGCTGTGGGAAGACTCCTGTTTAAACATAAGGCTCTTCTTCTGCGGATCTACACAATCTTTAAATGGATCGAAGCTCCAAGCTCGAAATCAGAACCATCGAGCCGCGTATTCAACAACAGGTCATGAACTGGCTACTGAAGCTGTAAACTCGCAAAACCAACACAAACTTTATTGCCAAACGACTGGTCGTAACAAACTCGCGAAGAGCAGTGCATGTGCCATTCCTGAAGCTGGAGGCAACTACAGCCCTTGATGCAATCTACAGCAGCAGTTCTACTCAGCTGCCTCTGCAGTGGCACGAGAGGGGCCAAGCGCCGTCAGCAAGGTGGCACACGACCATAGGTCCTGACACATCATATTGCTTTAAACCGATGATTTGCAGCCGGAAATGCGGAACAACACTTCTTCATTTACTTCATCTTTTCTGGCGGCAAACGAATTGGCATAGAACCTGCTGCAAGACTTGCGGAAGATTCTTTGAGCTTCGAACTTCTTCTGCGGCTTCTAGGGCATTTTAGGGCCTAGGGCTACAGACCCTTGCAGGGAGCCACTTGAAATAAGGCCGTCTCCGGGGGGCAGGTTCGCTCGATATCACATTCCTGAATTATCAACATGATCAAGGCAGGAAACCCGTAAGTAGACTAAAAGTCGATTTCACGGGTAATAACACGCCAGAGGATCCGCAGAGCAGCAACACGGAAAACAGTGCAACAGCATACCCCTGATTTCGCAACCGGCGCACAACACACGTCAGCGGCATCGCAACACATCAAGCCAAATTGCCCGTCTCACTATCCGCATAACAGTGACGTAGTCAGTGTCCTGTGGCAGCTGTCGCACCTCCTGACACGGGCTCTTTTTGTTTCCCCACTGCAGCGGAGATCCCGTTGAAAACAATGGCCATATTCTCAGGCGTGACATCTTTGGACACGTAGGAGACAAGCGTCGCTTCGCTGAAGCCCAACTCGCTCCCTCAGTCCAATTTCGTCAAGTCAAGCAACGGCCCCGGCTTTTGAAGGGGGTAGCTTCCGTCACCCCCATCCCGGTTATCAGCAGAAGATAGCATAAACTGCTGCGACCAAACATAGCAATCCAGCTACTGCTGCAAAAGAAGTGCATCCGCCAAAGAGAATGCCTTTGCATCCGGGAGGCTCAGCCACGCAACTCGGCCGTAATCCAAGATCCGTTTGGCCATGATGCCTGCACGCCGCAGGCGTAGATCGACCGCACCCACTGCCCAGCCGGCAGCAGACAGAAATTCGGCGAAGTCCGCAGGCTTCTCAGTGAGCCTGGAGTCTGGAATGTCTCAAGGAGCAGCGGAGCGGGGCGAATCAGTCCTCCGAAATCTCCGAAGGCTCCAGGCTATGCGCCTATGCCCTTCATTGACAATACCTCCGGATAGGTGGAAGCGCTGATGACTTGCAGCGGGTATGAATCTTAAATGCTCCGGCGCATACATGAGATGAGCTGCTTCTCACGACTGCACATTAGGCCTAGGCAGTGCCGAACAGTCAACTTCGCCAGAGATGTGATTGAATGTCCTCACACTACAACCTAAAGCAACGCTTGCTTTCACTCAGGATGTGCTGATATGTGTTGCAAATCCTCATCTTTGGAATGAGTGCAGTGGAATGGCCCCAGGCTGGCCAGGAAGGCCGGATTCACGTAGGTGTCCGGATCCTCAGTCTGCATCCCGCACGACTGCAACAACCTAACCCGAACAACATACCGTCAAGTTTGGGATCTTACGATTCGGACGTTCAGACCTGTCCGTCAACGACCGTGGAAAGAAACGATGCGAGCCGAGAGCAAGCCTACACAGGCCGTTGTCTTGCCTAGCCTGCAAAGATTCAGCAAAACGGCTTGCAGGCAAAAGTCGCAGCGATGATGGCAGCAAGTTGCGCAGCAAAGGCCCACCTGAAAAGAAGAGTGGGCATTGGGCTCAGGACAGCTCGGGGAGATGTCGCGGACTGCATAATTACAGCACCACAGAAATCCTCAAAGCCACGAGCTGCGATTCTATGTGCCTCGAGCCTCGAGAGGCTGCAAAGTTGCTCCGCGCAGTGAGCGTAGAGCAAGATCTGTTCCGCTGCCACACAGGTGCCTCAACGCATCCAGGTGACATAGACAGCACGCGCGACTGGTCGCCGCAAGTTATGACAAAGAGATACTCGAGTTCCCAGATGAGGATAGATATGCGGCGGTACTTGCTAGAAGGATGCACGCATTGACTAGTGATTGTCACTCCATCACTGCCTGACCGACTGACTGGCTGGTGGCTGGAAGCTAACTGTGGGCAGTGGATCCTCGTGGCTGGGACGAGGAGGAACAACAATGCGCTATCTCATGCTTTGTGGGGATTATGCTCAGTGGTCCGTGAGGAAAGCTTAACGGCTTATTCCAGAAATTGTGCGATGCCTTGTGGCAAAATTTTGCTGAGCATGCAGCAATACCTTCGGACGATTTACGTATTGTGCAGCAACTGAACAGCTTCACCAATGACAAGAGTTCAACGGCCGACACGATAGACCCGACACTGATTTGATGGATCTGAATCAAGACAGGAATCTTGGCGCAAACCAGCAAGCCACCGGGAGGAGGAAAAGGCGGTGCCCTGCAGGTCGCTGCAAGAGCAAACAAGTCTTGCGGCTTGGTGTAACATCGAGACATGACTTAGCACCTCCTCACGTCCCCCATGTAGGCTCCGTGTCCTGCCTGAGCAGTTCTGCGAGGCTGTGTAATCGTCGCGAACGCTGCGCACTGCGCTCGCAGCGAGCGAAGCTGTCGGAAAGCCGTGCTGCAGCATCCGGGACCTGCGGGGACGTGCTCCCTACACCCCTGTCACTCAAGCGACTCCCAAGCTTGTCTCTCAAACACCTGTTTGTTTACTATAGCCACGGTCTAGTGCACTCTTGCTCTAACAAAGCGCTCGCAGACCAAGCAACACTACCGGCATCCATGATCCTCTCATCACGTGGCTGCGTCGAGGCTTCGACTGCTTGCCCGGCACGAGGACACTCGCAATCTCTGGTGCATTGCCTTGTCCCACAGCAGCGCCCCCAGATCGAAGTCGGCGATGTCCATCCGGAGCCGAAGCACCTGCTGCAAGCTTAACGCTGCGGCTCCGTCCAAGTTCAGCAGCACTGTCGGGCATTGCCGGCCTCGTGGCCTGCATCCCGACGCTGCTCCACTCGATGGCGGCGTGTGTCCCGGTCCACAAGCACGCTTAAGGCCTCCGGCACGGCTCTCCGCTGTACTAGTTTTTCTGACAAATGGCAATATAGTGTCTGGAAGTGTCCTCGACCCCGAGTGCTGTCAAACATGCGCATTCATTACGGCCGTGCTGATACGAACACTACAGTACGTCCGCTACCAGCCGCTGACGGGGGCATGAGTCCTCCCGCAATGCTTTTGATTTCTGCGCTGAACAGCAGTGCCTGCGGGTGAGCTCGGAGCAAGGAAAGGGAGAGAGCCCCGCGCCCACAGCCGTACTCCACCATCACCGCTCGAGAAAGTCTGTCACCACACAGTTCCTAGGGCCGCACTGCATCCAGCTTTGGTGACATGGGCCATACAGGTTTCACCCATTTTGGGCTCGCTCGGGCGCTTCAGGTTTCACCTACTCTGCGACCCCTCGAAAGCCACAGTTTTCACCCACTTTGGGCTCGCTCGGGCGCTTCAGGTTTCGAAAGCTACAGGTTTCACCCACTTTGGCTTCAGAGGCAACTTGCCCGTGGTGCCCTCCCCCCTCCCCTGACTGGCGTACATGTACTAAACTCTAATTGAAGGTGCTGTGCGGACCGGTGTCAGATGCTAACTGGGACAACGCCAAATTCTGAAGGCCATGCTTGTCCGCATGCCCAAGCTCACCCCCGGTGGCGTCACTCATCGACTGGTTCACGATATCTTTGACATCGGCGCGGGCTTCCGTTCCAAGAGCTTGGCAAACGGCCTGTGGAAACACCGCTTCAATTCTCTCGATCCAGGCATCTCGGCGATCTCGGCTCATCAAGCCGACATCGGGTAAAGCGTGCGGTAGGCTGGTGGGCCCACAGTTAACGCCTGCACGATAGAATGGTAGAGAACCCAGGAACTGTGCGTCCCTCAGGCTTGGGCAGGCTGTAGCCAAATGCCTCTCCAAGTGGATGCGCTCCACAGTATGCGATGGATCAAGGGGGCACTGCACTCTGTCTCCGTCGGTCTCCAAGTGGGTCTTGCATCTCCGGCACCCTGGAGCGGCTCTGAGCCAGCACCTCTTGCCCTTCTTGCTGTGGACGAACTCACACTGCAAAGACTCGCCTCTAGCTGCATAGCTTCGCAGTGCTGCAAGGAGCTCGTCAACCATCTATATGTCCAGGAAGAAAAGTTGTCATGCTGCTACGCTGTTCTGCATGCAACCCCCTTTGATGCGTATGCGGCACGATATTATGCTTTGGCATAGAGGTGGAACTGCGCAGACCTGAAACCTCATGGCCTACAGGCGCTCGCGTGTTTTCTGTGTGGTTGATGTCCCACAGATAATCCAGCCAAGGCAGGCCAAAGCCTACGGCAGCTCCTGCAACGCTGCTTCCAAGCCGTTGCTGCAGCGGAGCAACGCAAAACGCACGCCTGTTGAAAGTGGAGGTTTCGAATTTTCGGTGCGAGGCCGCGCTTAGTGGCTCGGACTCGGTCCTTGAGCATCTGCTTCTTGGCAGGCGAGTCGGAGTACGGTGAAGTAATAGATAAAACCTGGGCACATCTGTCACGTGCACAGGAGCTCCAGAAGTGAGACATGTGGAGACTGAGCTTGTCGCGATGAGCAGCGGTTCCCGCACGGTGCTTTTGCAGTCAAAAGGCAAAGGCAAACCTGCCATGAGCTTGCTTTCAGCGGGATGGCATGTCGAGCTGGTGTCGGCGTCAGCCAGTACTGGTGGCAAGCATCCGTGTGAGCCCACATAGCTTGCAAGGTCCACAATGTACAGGGTACAAATCAGCAAGTTTCCAGCATTCCGGCAGATGAGCCTGTGCGGTCGCTTGTCGAAGATCGACTTTGGATCCTGCCGGGCTGTCGGGACTTCCGTGCCGACGGTCTTGGAGAATCATACTAGTCACTAGGTGTCTTGGCGTGAAGCCTTATCGCTTCAATAATGAAGTCCCAGGGTCTTGAAGCTAGCTTGACCTTGACACATCGATCGCTGCTTTCTGCAAGAGCGCTGCACGGCTGCACCTCCATGGTCGCCGAGAACCTCGGGACCTTAGGGTGTTGACACACCAGAGCCGAGGGCTTTGCACGTGCTCCTTTGTAATGTAGCACCAGCAATACAGTACTCAGGACTCAGGGCAGCACCACTCGGCAATTCGCAGCACGTCCGGCTTGGACCTGCCGTTCGACCTGACGGACGAGCCAGAAAAGGTCGTGCCAGTTGAATGTAATTTGCCTTCACAGAGAAGAGGCAACTCGCAGGCCAACAGGAGTAGCTGGCTGCTAGCTGCGGTTTAGGCTCACATGAACATTACCTAGCAGGTCAAGAGTGCGAATCGACACAGCCGTGGATCTGCATGGAACAAGCTCCCAACGGGTGGATCGGCATGTAGCTCGCATAGCGGCCCCTGGTGCACACTGCCAGTTGGACGCGAAGATGTTAGACAGGCGTGCATACAGGGAACCAGAGAGGTTACAAGATAGCACAAATTGGACGATGATGCATCACAGCCGAACAGAAGCCTGCAGCCTAAAGCGACGCTACAAAGACTCGAAGAAAGTCGATGATGATGATGATGATGCTGATGATGAGTTTCATAGCCCTGGGCATCCAAAAGCAGCTTCGCGCCCATCTGCAACTGTGCGCCGACGAAAACATGAGAAAAGCATGCAGTTTCCCACTCGGAAAGAGGAACAGGTGGAGCGCAGGGCGAGTCGATGGGCAAGTCGGAACCAGAGGCTCAGAGGATAAGAAACAAACAGTTCTGCATGTCGGACAGGCCCTGCCAAACGTCAGGCCCCCAAAGACTCAGAGGGGTGGTAGGAAGCCCCACAGTGCATCTTTCGAACACCATCATTCCTCACGGACTACTGACAGCAATCCCGCACACGCAATTCGAGCAAGCCAACTATCTTCAACAATTTCGACATACCAGACTACATAATGCTACATAGACCCGTCATTCCCGAAACAGAACTCGCCTGTGCAGGTTTCTGAACCCTACCAGTCGTGCTTTTCGACTGGAAGCGTGGACGACTGAATCTGCGATTCGCTCTGAAAGCCACTCGTGCCCCACTCCTGGCTGGGTGTCTGGCCAGGAAAGCTGGGCAACACGCCAGCGTGTCCTCAAATGGCCTTGCGAGCTCTAGGCCGGCAGACACTTGGGTCCTTTTTTGGCTGAGAGCAGTTCAGTGCAAGTGCTCTTGCATCATGTAACGCATTCAATGTGGTGATGCTGCGCAGCCTGCATCTTGCAAGCCGCTTGAAGCTCCAAAGGCCACAGATGCCACACCTGCAGACTGCAGCCCATCACGAAGTAGCAAAACAGTAGCGCGGAAAGGTGTTGGAAAGCTGACGGAAGTCTGGTGACTACCTTGTGATTTCGTGCGGAGATTAAAACACAAAAATCTTTTCCATACAGTTGAGGATCCATGCGCCTCGCTCCACTTGATGATGGATGCTTGCACTCTCAATTGCTAAGCTGCGCACACTGCAAGAGACCTCGGACGTCAGCGGGACCTTGCATCACTGAAAAACGGAAACTGGTTCAGGCCAAAGCCTGGTTGACATCTTCATTTGCAGATTCTGATGACTTTTGCGTGCTCCTACAGCCTGCAACACATCATGTTTACGCTGGCAGATGAAGTGAAGACACGTGTCATTGTGACCACAACTGCATGGAGGCACTGTGCATCTCGCACGCAGACTCTTTTGCATGCGCCCCTGCAGGAGACAAGCCAGCTAGCAACCAAGCCACGGCAGCATTTGCTGCTCGGTGGGATAACTCCCCTCCTACACTGCTAAATGGTCCCTGCAAGTCCCCCTTACCTGCTGTTGGTAATGCGATGCAATGTGTGAATGCGTCTCTTGCTGTAGATGTGCTGAGGCACGGTGCCTCGTGCAGTCAGACGTTCATGGGTTCAGAGTTTTTGCCAGGCACACCAGGCTTCCCTGTGAAAAGGGCCGCTCCAAATTTCAGAGTGCCCAAGCCGCTGCCGACAAGGCCACCTGCCTCGAGTCAGAATTGCAAATTATTAGTCAGTCTCAGGAAATCTCAGGAATGTCTCAGATTTTGTGATCATCCCTTTAGTGGGATTTTAGAGTGCATTGGCCTCTCTTGCCTCCACATCTGCCAACCTTTTGCAAGTCGCCCTTGAGAGCATCCTTTAATTCCTCAAATCATCACCAACCAGCAGCAAGCGTTACCAACAAAACGCTTTTTCCCCGTAGAGGCCCTAGGCCTGCTGCATCAACGAGGATGCAGCCTTCGGCTCAGCCTTTCGCGCCGGGGGATCCAGGCGCAGCCTGGTTGAGAAAGATCGTCTCGTTTCAGTACATGTTGCCGAGAGCTGAAAGACATGGAAGAATACCTCACAAAGTTGCTTCGAAGATTTCTGAGTCAGGTCTGTTTTGCTCCTGCGTATCAGTGGAAGAGTTCTTGGCAAGCACCTACCCGCCCATCATGTCAAGTCTGGCGAGCCTGCGCTCCATCTCGTCTTACTGGTACCTTTCTTTTCCGGTATCACACTGTGGTGTCTTTAAGCTCTCAAGCCTCTTGCAGGTTACACTTCTTGGACCCTGGAGATTTTATCTGGAGGGGTCTCGGGTACTTTACAGATAATGGGACAATGCAATCCACAAGGTCCGCGAGGTCGCAGATTTTAGCCCTGGCTTCGTTTCCGCTTCCGTTCTAGACATGTCATAGAGTCACTGCAGCGAATTCGCCTGGCTATATCCTCTCTCCGTCTCAGATTTGCTCGTCCAGACAAAGACAGTATGACTTTCGCACTTCACACTCTCCTAGCTCAAGAATCTCAGAATCTCAAGAAACTCCGCAGATTTTTCCCACCCGCCCAGCTGACAATGTCGCACCGCAGATTTAAAGCCCAGGATTGGGGGGGGGAAATGAAGGTTTGAAAAGTCTTTTGCCCTGGCTCCACTGAACACAACCGTGAAGAAAGTATGTCAATCCACAACTCTGCAATCCCTTACTAGTACGGCCTAGGAGTGCACTTGCAGATATTTCGGCGCCATGAACAAGGATTCTCCCCAGCGATTCGCAAACCAAGCTATCGCAAGCAAGGAATCACCAGGAACACAAAACTCGACCTTCGAATCCATCCCTGAAAACGCGACACATGCCCCTCGAGGCCTCTCCAGATCGGATGTCGTTGTGACATTCCTCGGGGCATCGTCATGTCTCATGTCTCAACACCAACAAGATCTCCGGATGTGATGATGGCTCTGTTCTGCGCATCTACGCTGGGACATGTGCGAAGGTGCATGATTATCCCGCCGTCTTCGGCTTCCATCCAAGTGCCGCGTCCCTTGCCTCGTTTGTCTTGTATGATAGCCCTTTCCTCTCGCAGTTGGCAAAAGCCTCGTTGTTGTCATTAGGTCTCGGTCTCGATAACCACTGTGAGCTCAAAAGGATGCTATCCCGTGCAGATACGGCTTGCTTACACATGATCGCAACGGAGAAGCAAAGCAAACTTTACTCGAACCTGCTCAATTTTGTCCAACCCTCTCCGACGCTCGCACTTGGCAGGTCAGGGCACTAGCAAAACATCCCCGAAACCCAGCACGAACAGCACACACTGATGGTTGGAGGCAGGCTCAAACAGCGAACCGGTGCCACGGGAGGCCGAGGATACAAAACAGTGGAGCAAGGAACCTGCTCAAATTATGACCGTGTATGTAGATCACACACAAAAATCCCGAACTTGCAGATGCGGATGCGGCTTCCCCGCACAGTCGGTACCAGTCGGTACTTGCTAATGTCCGCTAGCTGAGAAAGCAAACGCTGCGTACCCGCAGTTTTCCCCTCTATCACTCCCCATGTTTCGATAGCTCCCTGTACATGTTCTCTCACTCTACCAACAGCACTTCCATGTTTACCCTGGCATTTGCGGGAGCTGTGAGTCCGGACCCGGACATCCCCTGACTGCGACAGTGTGTTGCTATTTTCAATGCGAACACAGCGGCATGGCCACTGGAAGCAGCGGAAAGCGTGGCAGAACGGGCCGCAGCGGGGCGGCGAATGTCGTCTGCAGTTCGAAGCCTTCGTTCTCGTTGCCTCAAAATGACCATGTGGTCCCAAAGACAACAAGCTCGGCCGGCAACTCTGCGCATGTGGCGGAGCAAAAAACACAACAGCATTTGTGACTTGTCGATGCCGTCACAGGCCCCAGCCCCAGCTTGCTAAAGAGATGCTTCTGTGCAGAGTGCATGGCAGATCCAAGCAGCCAAGCGTCCTAGCGCCGGTTTGCTGTTCGAGCGTACTGTCCCAGAGCCACTTTGGGAGAGATACCTGGGAACGCGGAGAGGTGTAGGACGGGATTATCAGGGTTGAAGTAACTCAGGAGCTTCGTGTTGCATACGCAACTTCCATCTCCTATCAGACTCCTGTCCTGTAAAAGTTGGGAGTTGATGTAAACTTCCGACCCGGTTCAAGACTTTCGGACGCAGCTGAGGCATGAGCCCGTAGAGCGGATTGTGGAGAAAGAAAGGTGCAAGCAGGACCTTGGTGCCCTGGACATGGTTGCTCACCGATGCCTTCCTCAGCTCATGAAGCATGTCTTCCACTAATTGGCTCCAAAACCGCTGGCACGTGCTTTGCAAGTAGCTGATGACTGCTTGCAAGAAGCAGAACGTCCTGGTACAACAAGCGGTCCACTGGATCAGAGAATGTCACGGATTCCTCAGCTGCGTCTAATTGGCATTCCGTCGTTTGTCAGAAGAAATCATCGGTAAGTTCACACCCGCGCACACACAGCCCCACCCACCCCCACCCACCCCCCCACCCCCACCCACCCACCCACCCACACCCACCCACCCACCCACCCACCCACCCACCCACGCACGCACGCACGCACGCACGCACGCACGCACGCACGCACGCACGCGCCCACCCGGCTCCACTCCCACACACACGCTCACAAAGGTGATCTGTCACGCCACAGTGAGTTGAATAGCCAACAAACTCTCCCTTTGGGGCTCCAGCCAAATACTGCACAAAAACGTCTTTGTACCAACCTTTTCCACTACGAGTCGTTGCGAGATGACCCCTGCTTGGGTGCCAGAACAATATGCAGCAAGCATTTCACCGTGTCACATTCGACGCAGGTCACATCATGCCCCCGACGCATCACCAGAGACTGCGGGCGGCTTCGTTGGTAGCAATCACTGCTCTCCCCTGTGAAAATTGAAAGCTGTATAAGCAGGTTATCGGAGCAGCTTGGCGGTTTTGCTTAAAGCACCAGTCAACTGCACGGCTCAACGGCCTCCAACATCAAGCTCGAACACATCTCCAAGCTGATTGACTGGGCAGCGTTTCTTAAAGCATTATATAGTCACCAACACTAAAACATCACCGCGCGCTTCAACATGTCCTTTGACTGTCTAGGTGACCCCTTTGGTACAAGATATGACACACACACACACACACACGTCCCTCGATATCACACACACACACACAAACATGAGGAAACACAGTTGCACGCTCACTATCACAAGACTCTCAAAACCAGCACGACCGTGTAAAGCTGCATGTAGAGCGGCAGCAATCTGCTAAAAAGGGCTGTTGAGGCCGGGCATTCCCAAACTGGCGATTTCAGCACGCAAGTATACGCAAGTGCGGTTCAAGGCAAAGTGCCACCTTGGTTAGCAGCTCCCGAAGCGATTCGTAGGCGCTGGCACCAGGTGCTGCGGCTGCAGAGAGGGCGATGCGAAGAAAGCTCAGGTCCTGAAGCGTGGGCAATTTGCGGCAATTTTCGCAGCTTGGACAAAGGACAGCACACAACGTGGACTTCTGGTCGACAGCTTCACATGCAGGGCTTGGTAAGGCCGGGATGATTCAATCACCCTCGCTCTGGTGCACTAAACATGAACCTTAGCCCAACGAGACCATGGCTGTCGTGCAGACAGACTGTCGCTGGCCAAAAGCAAGTCTTCCTGCTTCACGGCAGAAGCGTGCTGATCCTCGCACCCTGGTTGCCTCGACGCTTCAGGACTCCACGACCCGGTATCCAAAATCTATCCCTATAGCGGCCAGGTTGCAAAGAGCCATTGAAGCAGATGCGACATTCCTTCCAGGATACTTTTCACTAAGGCCTCTCAAAGCCTCTCGTTCAATTACTAGTTTCACTTGCCCAAACACGGCAACAGAACTGGCTCGCCTGACCCCCAATTTCTCAGAAAGCCTTTCGTGATTCTACAACTCCGGTGACTCGTTCGTTTTTTGCAGTGGACACACAATGCTGTTTGGCAGCCCATAGCGAATTCAGCCGGGTCCCTGACGAGCTACCCCAGAATGCCTAAAGGCAATCGGAGAGATGCCGCCTGCTGCCCTGGGTTCTGGGTCCGGTGGAAGGACGGCGGACGGACTTTGCGGGTTTCAGACTCTAGCAGGGCCGAAAGCATGGCATTGCACTGTCCGGATCGCTTCAGCCGCGCCAGGTCGGACGGGCGCTCCTCAGATCCCACGTCAGAAAACCTTCTCGTCTTGGGCGTGACCTCAAAACCTGAAGTATTCCATAACTCGCATCTACAAGCATGCTAAATGTGTGCCCAAGATTGTCCAAGGGGCTGCTTCATAGGCTGCTGCGAAGAGCTCCGCCAACGAGGCCTGATGAAATTCTATGTTTGCGAGTTCTCACGCAGAAGGTCTGTACACGGTTTGCAACGGAATTCTCCCACCTCAGTCAACTTACGGCATGCTGTCAGACGCATATGATCCTGTAGACCCATTGCGCTTAGATTTCCTTCGGCTTTAGTGCCCGAAAAAGACTACAGTAATTGAGTAATTGACTTTCACCTCGTCGGCTCAGCTGAAGAATGGTCGTTGCACGGCTTTGCCGCACACAGCCTACAACTCCCCGATGCCCTTTTCACGGCTCATGTTACCTTGGCGGCTGCCGCGGTGGCGACAGCTGCAGGACCTGCGAGGATCTGCGAGTCGCACCACGAGGTGACAGCAAACCCTACCGCTGACTAGCAATAATCGTGTCTTCCTGCTTGCATATGCATGTCGTCAAGAGTTCTCCTTTGGAGTCAGTCTTGTGTGTTCGGGATTGTTTATTATAGCTTCTGTAACTGATGCTTTTGGCGACGCATTTTGTCTGTTCGCCTTAGAAACGCACAAGGTCTTCTCGCCTGGATGGTACTCGTGTGGATGACTGCGGCTGAGTGGGCAAAGAATTGCTACCTGCCTATACACAAGCCAGTTGTACATTCTACTACACAGTCTGCAGCAATTCCAGCAGGCATAGTTTCAGTTTCATGTCACTGCATGCTGTGTTTCTTTGTGAAATGGATGCTCGACGACACTTGTTTTAATACCACAGCGAGTGTCCAACCTTGCGCGCCGGAAAGCTCGAAGATCTGCCTCATTCAAGAACATTTGAAGCTGGCAGCCCAGGTCCACATGCTGAAGCTACCCGCTGGCAGCAGCATTGTTCCCACCACTGCTCATGATTCTATTGCCAAGTCAGACGTGTTCGCGGTATTTCTTGCGGCCGAGAGTTCCAGACTTGGGTGAAAGCGAGATTGATTTGGTGAATAATGGCGTGATCTGTTGTGACACAACGTCGTCCCGCCAATGCCAAAAGATTCCCTCTCTTGCTTGCTTGCTTGCTGAGGGGTCTGGGCCCTCTCTCTCTCTCTCTCTCGCCAGGGCTAGGGTGTAGGGGTTTGACCCCTCTCTCTCTTTCTTTCGCCAGGGCTATGGTGTAGGGGTTTGACCCCCCACACCGCGCGCATGTGCGCCCCCGACTGTTGCGGAGGAGAAACTATGGCTGTCCTCCAACCACGGCTCTGGTCAGTCAAAAAGACCGAGCTCATCACTCAGCAACTGCATTCCAAACAGGCAAAGAAGATCCGCATCTCTCTCTCTCTCTCTCTCTCTCTTTCTTTCTGCAGGGCTTAGGGCTTAGGGGTCGCGGTGCGACCCTCAGGCTTTCAGCCTCTCTCTCTCCCTCGCTCTTTCTCTGCCGTGTCATCATCCAGAGTCTCGCAATGCAAGGGCACAAAAACGCGGGCTAGAATATCAGGAGGCACAGCGCGAACGCTGAACCTCCATCATTCGTCAAAAGAGATTGACGAACCGTAACCGCCGTAACCTGATAAAGGCTCTGGATAATGAAATCCCAAATCCAGCTGAGCAACTTCGAAGAAGCCGCGAGACGCTCGAAAACGAAGGGAGAGGTCTGGATGGGCACCGACACGGACTTCGCCTGAATGAAGAATCGAAATACCATCATAATGAGCGCAGTAGCGATTGTCCGGTGGTCATCGCGAAGCCGGGGCAAATATCCCCGACATTGGCTCGACCGTGTGGGTCTGACGAAAGCGCAAGCACTTTCAGGGAAAGTGCATTGTGGACTTGAGTATTTTCGAGTTCACACTTTCAGAAAGTGCCGATCCCGCAGATACATCAGAAAGCCGTCCTGTAATCTGCCAGCATTAATTCACAACAAGCCGGATGCGTGAACGGCCCCTACGATGCAATGCAACTGTTGACTTCGTCGCCTTTTCGAAAACTAGCTCTGAAGTATCTTCGTTTTGATGAGCCGAGCCACCTCGGAGCTTTCCCCTCGCCTTTTCGAAAACTAGCTCTGAAGTATCTTCGTTTTGATGAGCCGAGCCACCTCGGAGCTTTCCCCGGCCTTTGCTGCAAAAGCTGCACTTCCCCAGCCACATGCCGGGCCTGCGCCAGGAAAGGGTGTCTTACAGTGTCCAGCAGGCTGAAGCATCTCTCAGGTTGGAATCGGCTGGAAGCCTGTGCAGCAGCTTCGGCAAACACCCTCGCACAAACAGACAGACAGACAGGCAGACAGGACCACGAGACACAAAAATAGCAACTTCATCCTCCTGCCATCTCCCGCCTACTTCGTCGTCTGCCAGCTTCCAGAAGTGGCCGAGGGAGCTGATGCTGCGCCCGCTCGAACGGCTCGCTCCGCTCACGCTCGCAAGCCTGACCCAAACCAAAGGCGCTCCGCTTGCTGGGCAATGTGAAACGAAATTTCCTTCTCTGCAACATCGCAATCTACATCGAAGTCAGCCTCGGTCCAAGGGATGGTTTCTGTCCACCCCGCTCTGGCCGGAACCGGGCTGCGAGTTAAATGGTGACTCGGACTCGGAACATAGCTTGTTTCTTCAACACTTGAAGGCCCGCCTGGCCCAGGCACAATTTACTTCCTCGCTTCGGGTGTTGAGGAATCCGATGATCGCTTCAGCCTCGGCCATCTGAACAAACAAGAGCTTCGATTGCAGTTGGCATAGGACTCTCTTGCTGGAGCCCCGTGGGAAAGCCGGCAGAGCATCGGTTTCGGTGCACTTCGCGTTTTATCCGTCTTTTTGAAGTTGCTCACGGTAGCTCAGTCCTGTCTTGCACTAAGCTGCGAGGCAATAACAACTTCATGGTTTGAGTCGTGCGGCAGGCTAGCAGGGAACTCCCCGGTAAGCTAATGAGCGATGACAAGCTACAGGATAGTGCGCGACAAGCTATGGAAATACACATTTGCAGTTTTGCTTGCAGCAAGGCATGGGGCTCTACAGGTATTGTCTTGCAGTGGGTAAGCTTTTGCGGAATTCACTGTCGCAGCGTCTTCTCTTTCGGCATGCTCTTAAGCCATTGCGGTCAAGCCAGCTACAATTTGCGTGACACCTTTGCGCTGCAAGCTATTTATTGCAGCAGGGGAGTTTGTTGCGAGTAGGCCCTGAGTAGGCGATCTAACTTCACCACTGCTGCTTGCAATGATCCAGGGAGTCGTAGCCAACATACCTTTCAAGTGTCATGGGTTTCCATCTTTGAACAGGATGCCGCTCAAGAACTTGAGATCTTGAAGAGCCAGAAAGCAACCCGCAAAAATCAGGACGAAAAGGGATACGCGAAAAGGCCGGCAGTGGGACCAACGGACCAGCACAATGAAAAGTATGAGGCAAACGGCAACACAACAAAACAAAAACAGCGAACAAAAACCCCGCAGTCCCCCGTGATTATTCCTCTTCCTGGCCTTCTTTGCTAGCTTGATCTCGCCGGTGGAGGCGGCACGGAGGGCTTCGCCTCCGAGCGGAGTTCTGCACTCGCCAGATTCTGTTGCTGCTCGAGAGCACATGCACAGACCGCAAATCGATGCCCACGGTGCTGCGCAGGGCTGAGCTCTGATTCGTCTCGAAGAACACGCCGCTTTATCAAGAAAGCCGAGGAGAGAGAGAGAGAGAGAGAGAGAGAGAGAGAGAGATGCACATGCATGGATAGATAGATAGATGAGGTAGATAGACCTGCCAGCATGAAATAAGTCTTTGTCCTCGCCTACCCGGCTGGATGTTTTTGCCGACTCCAGATCGCTCAAGGTCCTTGCTGTTGGCACGCATGCTTCAGACATGCTATGCATTCTGCAGCCAACTGCACCTGTCGGTGCATATAGTTCAGCTATACCTGCATCTGCTTTCATGCGGTCTATATCTGCATTCATAGACGAACTGGAAAGCTTTCGGCCCCAGGTCCGCAGGGTTTCCACAGCAAGTGCTGCACGCGTAGCTGCGCGCAAAGACGCCGAGCTGGGCCTCTCCTGTTAGCATCACTCACGCTCGGCTTACTGTTTTTCAGAAGAGACAGTGCTACGACAACAGCACAGCAATATCTGGAAACACCTGAAGCCGATGATGTACCACGAAGGCCGGGGGCAACCGGGATCGTCAACATGGCCGTGAAATGGAATTTTGCTTGTGGAAACAGCGCAAGTTTCTCCGAGGCTTTGTGCCCTTTCTGCAAAGAGATGCAAGGGATTCCGAGGGGTCCCCACTTGGACAGCATGTCGGAGAACAGCAGCTGATCTCTCAAAGCTCGATTGGACCCCTGGGCGTGTGAGTGAAACTTGTCATTAAATCTGCTGGTGCAAAGCCAAGCTTTTCATAAAATCACATCCTTGAGATAACGGCATTGTTCATGCGCAGCTTAGTCTGGCCAAGCGACACAAACCTCCCTTTCGCCGCCACGTTTTACAAACTTCGTTTAATAGCCAGGCTAGACCCCTGCGCCATTGCTTGTTTAGCCATCGTGTAGCTGCACCAACTCTAGTAGACAGAGAGACGGCCGGATTCGCAACTGTCCATGTTGGGCTAAAGTCCCTGGCAGCTCATCATTCGACACACCTTGAACGGCTCCGTCCTCAAGGCCGAAAGTGAACGACGTCGCGCTTGAGCAGTTTACTTGTCTGTGAGCTGCCAGGACAGGAGGAGACCCCGGCAGAGTGACAGAAGTACCCCACTCGTTTTAACACGAGGAGGAATTGCTGGACCACGTGCACGCGGTCAAGTCTTCACCATCCCTTGAGGACTGGAACTGGAAAACCTGAAAGCCAGTGCTCCAGAGCGCTGTGGCCAAGCAGTTCTGGACTCGAACCAGACATCACAAATACAAATGAAAGCTCACTTCATCCAGTGCAGTCAACTACTCAACTCCAAACATGCGCTGAGAGCACAGCTGGGCACAATGTGTCAAGAACGGTGGTTCTTCGTGTTGCGCGGCTGGGACCTGTGCCCCAAAGCCTGAGAACTACATGCCGCCGTGAGGGCACTGCCTGCTGCTTGCAGTATCTTGTATTATCTTGACAGCCTCAAGTGCATCTTGCCGCTGCTTGTGGTGATGCTGGACAAGTTGGACTGGAACACATCAAGGGCAGCGTCCCCGGTCTGGGATCTAAGCCCCTGCTTGGGGACTGTGGTGCTGCTGGGCTTCACGAACGCAGAATCTCTTCAAGAGATCTCGGTGATGCTCGTGCGGCAACCTATCAAACTGACCGCTGAGGAAACCTGCCATGAAACATTGCAAAACAGACATGGGAAGAATAACAAGTACGGGCTGTTGAGGAGACTATGGAGCCGACGGGTTTTGCTCTTCATCCTCGTCTTGGTTTCCTAGATGGCGCGGGCGTCAGCCTTGCCTCCGGCAATTGAGCGAATTACTCCGCAAGAACTGTGACATGACCGTTGCATCCGGGCTTTTTGCCGCTGCCTCTTTTGCAGGGCCTTTAAACCGCAAAGCTACTTTTTCGCGGCTTGTTTCTGTGGGAGATCTCAGCGCCATCCTGTTTGGTCAGGACGGTCAGCAATAACTCCTGCACGAGGTATTCTTAGACTTCTACACCAGCCATTGGACAGCACAAGTGAGAGTCTTCGTGTACCGGCTCTGCAGGCTCTGCACTCCTGACCGAGGTTTAAGTCTCAAGCATCGGCTCGCAGCTCAAAGGCTTAAGCGTCCTGCATGTCGCTCACAGCCCTGTCCAAGCTGGCGATGGAGTCTCGAGTCACTTCGGCTTCGAACTCCATTTTCGCAATGTCCAAGCTTTTCCTTTGAACGACAGGGGACTGCAGGGGAAAGGACGACGGTAGGGGAAACATCAGCACCACAACGGGCACTGCAGCCTGAATTTGCTAGAAGACGTGGAAGCATCCTCAGCAGTGACTATCAGTCTTCACGAGTCCAGCAGGGCTCGTAGCTGTGAGGATCTCTAACGAGATCAACCCTTCGTTGCGGAAGTTGTCACCAAGACTTCGGCTACATCAACTGCGTGGTCGACAGCTGTCGGCAGGCTGTTGGAATGCTCGAGACTGCCGCACCTGCTATCGATCCGGAAGAGAAAGCATCTCTGGCTTTGGACCGCCGATGAGCAGACAGCGTTTAAGAATATGTCCTTGTCGCAACTTCCTTCCCATGTCAGGTTGAACTGGCAGCGTTGGTGTGTCGCCAGGGGTTCAACATCCCAGCCGGCACTCAATCCGCGATAAGATTTCAAATAGGACTCTTCTGGTTGCAGGCAAGGAGCGCTGGGCCGTGAAGCCTCCATATTGCGAGGCTAAAAGCAGCTTCTAACCACAGTCATGATAAGGAACGTACAAAGGATGCTGAACAAAAACAATCTGTTCGGACACCGCGAAGACAGGACAACTGAAGCATTACTTGTCGAACAGTGAGTGCGAATGAACACCACCAGCAATGCTTACAAGACGTCGCTGTTTGCATAGGAGCTCACCAGTGGGTACGGATATCTGGAGCAACTCGTGAGATTGGCTCCAGAATTAATTTGTCGTTTGTTGTGGCTTTTCTTTTGTTGGGTGCTTCTTTGTTTTCTATTTGCTCTGGCACGGTGCGCCTACCCGGAAAGAATCACGTTATTCGACAATCCCATACCATGGTGGCCTGATTTATGTCTCCGAAGCGCTTGACATGTCCAAAGTCTTGAAAGGCCCCTCATTCGGCGATTGCGGTTGATGACATCTCTTAAGCCCACCCACTCATTAGGCATGGCGGTTTGATCACATGTCGCAAACCCCAGACTCATTGGGCGATTGCGGTTGATCGTATTTGTTAAGCACGTCCCCTCAGCAAGGGATGGCGGTTGATCGCCCATCTTAGACCCCTGCCCGTCACCAGGCGATTTGCACGATAGGCGATTTCGGAACATCACGTTTCTTTCGGGGGGACATCACATTTCTGAAACTGGTGGTGGATCCGGGTTCCTGCCCTACTAGAATTCTTTGAGTTGGCATGAAGTTTTCCATCGCAAGGTTTGCAAAATGAAAATAAGCAGAAAGGGGGTGTTTGGCGGCGGGAGGGTGGGCACAGCCCCCCCACCCATATTTGTAAACACAACCCACAACGATTCAACAACAGCTGAATGCAGTAAGGCAGGAGCCAAGAAGCTAAAGCAGCAGAACAGAAAGCACTCAGCGGAAAGCAACAACGCCACCAAACACGATCAAACGCGTAAAGCGACCTGGCCGAAGGCAGAATGCAGACAAGCCATGCATGAGACGCAGCAGAACCGAAGTGGATAGCAGAAAAGCAAAAAAATCAAAAGCCGTCGACCACAAAAAGGAGCAACACAAACAAATATAGGGAATGAAGGCAAGCATCAGGAAGCAAGGAAAGCACCGAAACATAAGAAATGACGGAAAGCAACCAACAAAATCAAGAGCAATTAGATGGCAAGAACCACAAGCGGCGCAAGACTCAAAGCAGAAAACCAAGCTAACGACGAAGCCAAAAAGCAACACACGAACGAAACAAAACCAAAAAGCACTTGTTAAACAATAGCGGTTCGTAGTTGCACCTCGTCGTCTCATGCTTGGACAAATAACTATGTAACAGAATTGGCTAGCGGAAACCCCTTGCCCGCCCTCCGTGCTCGGACTCAGAACGTGTTCGCAGAAAAATCTGCCAAGGCTTGCGCCTCATACAACCAGACACGAACTCCTCCATGTCGATTGCGCCACTTCCATCTGTATCGATCACCTGGTGCAGCGTATCGTCGGAACTGTAATTGACAAGCAAAGGTTTTCCACAGCGGCTGCCCTTTGACAAAGAGCCTTGAAGAGCGTCCAGACGTCAGCTGTAGAGATGCCCATGGATTCGAAGAAGCTGGAAAGCCTGAGCAACGGCTGCAGTTCTGAGCTTGGCCATCTTGATGTCCCTCGTACAGCTGTCGAAGCTTCGACTTGCCTGCCATACCTTGCCTGAAGGACTCTCTTGAAGCCTTTCCGATGTACTTCTGACTGTTGCTGCTCAGCGACTTGTCGGCACCCATTGCGTCCTGCAAAGAAACAGTCGCACGACAGGCACTAGTTGGTTGCATCGGGCAGTTTCGTTTTCGTGCCCTGCCTGGAGATCCTGCATGCTGATGGTATCCGTGTGGTGGCTGTTTATTTCCTGGAACACGTGCCTGAGAACTTGGACCTGACGGGCAATGACATGACCGTGAGAGTCCCTTGCGACGAGCAAGAGGCAGCACTCAAATTTGTAGTCCACTCCATCGGCGAGCGAAGCGTGCCCTGCAAGTTGCTCGTGACAACTAAACTCCGCGCAGAGATGCCTGCGCTGCTTGTTTACGCATCTGCTTCATCACAGCGATGTCTTTGTCTGCTGCGGCACTTTCGATAGCCTGAGCCACCGGGACGGCACTTCAACCGCTCCAAACTCTTGTGTGCAACTTTTCTAACCTGCAGTACTGCACAAGGTAGTGACGACCCCCACCACGTGGTACGCCGTGTGCTGCAATCATCAACACTGGCAACTCTGCTGCATCCGTCATGCATGCATCGTGCATATGAGCGAAGCCAAGAGTCTGTGTTGCAGAAGACACCGGTCACGACGTTGACGACCGTAAACACCTGGTGTAATGCTCGTCTGCGACATATACAGATGCCTTCAAATCTAGTCACGGGTTCTTACTTCTCTCCCCTCGTTGTTCCCCCTGCTCCTTCTGTAGGTGATGTGCACTTTCTGTTTGTTGGGCTCTGTCTGCGTTGGTTGCGGCCTGGGGTTCATGGCTGTAGGATGGGTCTCAGCTAAAGCCAAGTGACTAAGTCTAGAGTCTAGGTTCAGAGTGTAGGGCTACGGCGCCGAGCCGATGCCGTCTCGCCCTGGCCCCTGGACTGCCTGCTTGGCAAACTTTGCTGCTACTACACTGCACTGACACGATTCTTGTGGCTGCCATTGTGCCGAGCCCTGTGACGAATCGCGGCAGAGAACATGCTTGTTCAATTCTCAACCCTCTCGAAACTCGTAGCTGCAAGCTCCGTCTCATGTTCGACTTGCAAATGCATCCGAGGAGCTGTGATGACGATGTAGAGATTAAGGGCCACCATTGCAATGGGAATGTCCCGAAGTGGTGTCAAGCCCTGGGTTTGCACAATTCCACGCACTCGTACAGTGTGCGACGGGCTTTAAGTTAGCTGCAGACGCCGTATGCTTACAGACCAAAGTATACCTTGCGACAAGGCTCAGCACTGCGCAGTCTCCACGTGCTCGTCTACTATGCCGATGCAAGTCCCACGTGGGAATGAATGCTAACCCAGGAAGTGACTACGACAATGATTGTACAACGTCCATCTGTCTATAAGTGTCTGTCAGGGATGAGTAAGCCTATGCACAACTTGGCTGCTCCAACAACCTGGAATTGGTGCTCTCCACGGCATGTCCAAACACTGGCTTGGCTTAACAACTTGTCGAAGCTGCGCCTGTCAGCCCTTCACTTGCCAGGCCCTTGCACTCTTTGCGGGCGCAAGAACATCATCCCAATCGATTCCACCCGAGATGGCCATGAAGAGGGTCAGCATGGCTTCCTGAGGCACGCGGACAGCTACAGTACAGCCGAGCTGGCACTGCACTGCAGCATGTATCAACAAGAGTACGCAGACATTGCATGAGACGCCTCGTGACAGGTGCACCTGTATCCTCAAGAAGCTTGAGCCATGACTCTCCCGTGCTGAGACCAAAAAGATGGGAAGCAAGCTTCAACTTCAACAACTCCAACAGGAGTTTGCCGACTGCGACATCCCCAAAAGAGACAGAGGAAAATTGACCAGGGAATATAGACCCAGTATAGACCAAAGAGAGATGGCTGCTCGAGATACCAGCACCCGAAGCAAAGGGCGAGCTTGGACTCGTCGAGCCAAGTTGCGCCTACGCTTGACCAGTATCGGCTTGGTCCTGTGTAGAAGTACGGAGACAACCTTAGTCGCACGGCTTGCTTGCATCTTTCTGCCCCTGAGACAACGTTTCACATCCTGCCCGGAGGACCACACTATGGACTAGACTAAGAAAATCACTGCAACGGTGGAAGAAACAAAAACAGGTACTTCCAAAGTTCGTCGAACGGCTCGTCACCCCGCGCTCGGCAAGCAAAGGAGGAGGCCGTTCCGTCCACAGGTGGCGGCTGAAACTCGGCTGTCAAACCGTGTGCTTTCATATCTTTTCATGTTTTTTGTGTACTGTACTGTTGATACTGCTATGGGTATGGTGCCTCAAAGTAGCAGCATCTAACACCATGGGAAGCACTTTTTAGCCTCCCGCCTAATTGACAGATGGGACATCGGGGGGAAGCCCTTTGCTTGCTTGTTTTCGCATGCACATATGTAGGTGTGCGTATGTAAGAGAGGCAGAGAGAGAGAGAGAGAGAGAGAGAGAGAGAGAGAGAGACAGAGAGACCGCGACAGAGGGAGAGAAGGAGGCAGAGCGAGCCAGCGAGCGAGAGGAAAGAGGGAGAGACAGACAGAGTTTTTCTGTGTGCGTGCACGTGTAGGTGAGTGACGGTGAGTGGAGAGGAGACGAGTGGAGTGGAGCGTGTGCGTCTGCGTGATCGAGGTAGCAGCACCAACCGGGCCCGCACAGCAACTCTAAAGGGTAGGAGCCTTGCCTTCGCCTGTGTTTAGGAAGCAAGGTGCTTCAGTCGAGTGGATGAACACGAGCAACTGCTACGGCTCTACTGCTACGACTGCTACTACTGCTACTTTACTACTACTGGTACTACTACGACGACGGTGAATGGACGAAACCTCGCACCGTTGCACCACTTGTATATGCATACTTCACACGTTAAAGCATCAAGCGCCACACCCCCTACTTAACGTTGGCAGCTGGGACCACTCGAGCGGTGCAAGATTTCGGACAAGGGAACAAATCCATCGCCGTTGCTTTCATGGCAAATGCTGGAAAAGGGGGGTGCGGGGAATCTCTAAAAGGTGCTTCTGAAAAGTGATGCAGGACCGTGTCCATGCACAGCACCACTACTACTACCACCACTACTACTACAACAACTACTGCTACTACTACTGCTACTTCTAAGTACTACTACAACGACTACGACTACGACGACGACTACGACTACTGCGACTGCGACTGCGACTGCGACTGCTACTGCTGCTGCTACTAGTACTACGACGACGACGACGACGACGACGACTACTACTACTACTACAGAAGAGGAGGCTGTGGGGCCGGCGTTTTCTACTACCACTACTACTACTACTACTACTACTACTACTACTACTACTACTACTACTACTACTACTACTACTACTACTACTACTACTGGCTACTGGCTACTGGCTACTGCTACTGCTACTGCTACTGCTACTGCTACTCTTACTGCTACTGCTACTGCTGCCACTACTACTCCTTACTACTACTTGCTACTACTTGCTACTCCTACTACTCCTACTCCTACCCCTACTCCTACTCCGACTCCGACTCCGACTCCTACTCCTACTCCTACTCCTACTACTACTACTACTACTATTACTACTACTACTACTGACTACTGACTACTGCTACTTGTACTAGTACTACTAGTACTACTAGTACTACTAGTACTACTAGTACTACTAGTACTACTAGTACTACTAGTACTACTAGTACTACTACTACTACTAGTACTAGTACTACTACTACTACTACTACTACTACTACTACTACTACTCCGACTACTACTACTACTACTACTACTACGACTACGACTACGACAACGACTACTACTACTCCTACAACAACAACTACTACTACTACTACTTCTGCTACTTCTACTACTTCTACTACTACTACTACTACTACTACTGCCACTATGCTACGACTACGAAAACCACCACGACGACGACTACTACTACTACTGCTGCTACTGCTACTACTCCTACTCCTACTACTCCTACGACTCCTGCTACTCCTGCTACGACTACTACTGCTACTACTAATACTACCACACAGCCACTAGGTGCTAGATTCGGTGCGAATCCTATCGTTGGCGCATAGTAGGATGGGTATTTCATGGCTTGGAGGGGAAGGTCCTCGCGCCATATAGAACAGGGTGTCCACTTCTTTGGTTGATTGATTGCGAATTGCACCACACGCATGTCGATAACCAAGTTGCCTCGCAATGATCAGACACAAGCTGCGTGACGAGCACTCCAAAGCTGTAGAACCTGGTTGGCCCGACCACACTAGCTCTTCACATTATCTGATTTGCGACAACTTCAACCAACAAAGCATCCACCCGGAGGCAATTGAAGGTCCCAGCATCAGCCCTGGTAGCATCATGCGCGAATCTGCCAAGGCGCAGAAGCACGAGCAACACAATGGTCCAAAAGAGCGAAGCGATGCTGCTCATGATGGACCTGAGAGCTCAAGAAGCCCAGAAGAGGCACACCAAGGCCGGGTTTGCGAATTCCAAAGCTCGCGGTTTTCCCTGTTTCACGATAAGTTTGTGCTCGTGTCAAGGTGCATGCGCGACAATCGTGAGTCAGCTACTAGCTACCACAGTAATGTCAAGGCGTTCCTTCATGCAGGAAATCGACAGCAAGAGCGTCCTCAGAGCGCCGACGTAACGGAACCTCAGGTGGTGCTGTATGTGCATCAGCAACAGCTCTTCTCTACACAGGGAAACGACGCAGCCCAAGCTCAAAGCCAAACAGGCGCTGCAAGATCTTTCGGCAATTGCTTGGGAGTCCAGGAAAAATACTTGGCATTTTCAACTTTCAATGCATCGGGCTAGCAGGACGGCTCTGCAATACGAAACAACGATTCACAACCTTGTCGAATGCCGAAGTTTCGTCCAAGGAACAGCCGCATGACCCGAACCCCACGCAAAGCGCGGGCCAAGCGGATCGGCCGCATAAAGCGCAAATGGCTGGGACTAACCTTCCAATTCACACTGCAATGTGCACGCTGTTGGTGTGAATTGCAATCTCCTGTCTGTGGAACCTTTCCTGCACCCCTTTGATGCAGTGACTTGACGAGAATCGTTTTGGCGCTGGGTAACCAGGCCAGCTCGCCGGTTCTCCAGTTCTATGCAGTAATAATGGCCCGGGTCTGTGTTCTTTTCAACAAAGGGAGGCAGGAGGTACATGGATCCGCACCGCTAGAAAGCGAGAGAGAGAGAGAGAGAGAGAGCGCGAGAGCGAGAGCGAGAGCGAGAGCGAGAGCGAGAGCGAGAGCGAACGTGTGTATATGATATGTATGTATTCCGCAGACCTATACATCTATGTATGTATGTATGCATATGTATATGTATATGTATATGTATATGTATATATGTACTTATTTACGTACAGATATTCATTTGACTATCCATTATACGTTGCGGCATATACACACATATTACATATATATATATATATATATATGTGTGTGTGTGTGTAATATGTGTATATATATATATATATCAGTATACATCCGTATTGCATCCGGTGGCTGACCCCTGGAGTCTTGAAGAAAAGTAAGAGTACAGCCATCGCAACAGGATGAGAGACGGAGCGCGGGCACAGCTGCATGAATATGCAGTGGCAAATGCCGTGTTGCAGTTGCATGAACGCGTTTAGACATGTTTAGACTATGCTACGGACTTCAGCGATTCCACAATCAGCACAACATCGATTCCTGCGACCCAGGACCCCCGACACCAGCCTGAGATTGCGGGGCAGCATTTGCCATGAAGCTGACCACAGTCTCAACTACTGACCTGAAGGTTGAAGCAGGGAATTAGCCCTTCTAGCAACGTCAGCACGTCTGAGGCGGATTTGGAACTAATACGTTGGATCGTGCAAAAAAAAGATGCTGCGTGGCACCTACTGGCCCGATCGTCTCTCTCATTGGGGAGTTGGACCAAGCCAAGACACAGTGCCACAATGACGAGGTCGAAAAAATTCCATAATCTGTCGGCCCCACAGCAGAAACCCCACGGGCCATTGGCAACAAAATTCACGGAGAGCTCTACCACAAAGATGAAGACCACAAACATGTTCATGTAGTCGAACCAAATAGGGACCTTGTCCGACCCATCCCGCGCCGCAATGTCAACTTCTATTCCTAGTGAGATCAGGTTGAAGAGGATAACACCCATGATCCCGTAGATGAACACGCTATGTCGCGTCAGGTACTTGGCCACATCCTTCGGATCCCTCCAGTTGATCTCGCGTTTTTGCTGATCGTCATCTTCTGTCGCAAGCTGGCCCGTCGCGGCCGCTGCTGCTGCATACATTTTGCGCTGTTGCCGTGCCTGCCAGAAACCAAGAAACACAGGCTCGCAATGGATCGCAGCTCGACTGGCAATCCTACACAGGATCCTAAGCAGTCTCAAGGCCAGGCCTCGGCATCGGAGGCCAGATCCAGCTTGTCACTGTCCATAGTCAGGCTTTGCAAGCCATCACTTCCAAGGCTTTGCCTTCGATCTTTCGACTTCTGTGTGTCATTGGAGAGAACATGCCTCAGCTGCGTAGGGATCTGGTCTCGTGGGAACTCTCTCTTCTCTTCTGTTGCAAGGCTCGCATTACATCTCCAGGAAACACACTCCGGCAAAACAAAAAGCGCCACAAGAAAGCCGTTGGACGAGGTCGGTGACCTTCCGTAAGCAGCTGCTGCCAACCGGTTTCGGCAATGGAATGCGCCAGAATCAGTTCCGGATCATCCTAAAACCACCCAGAAGCATGCTTTGCTACACGAACCTTCAACCTTCCGCCTTCCACCACTTCATGGACATGTTGCTCTGTGGCTTCGCGAGATGTATCGGATGCGAAGAGCTGCTCTTGCCCCTCACCTAGGCTGCAAAGAGCCGAGAGGTCCGCTGGCAAAATGGGATCGGGCACAACGAGGCCCGGTGCTACATCTCAACTTCCCGGTACAGCCGAACATGCGGTCACTGGATTGGTCTTCCCTGCCTTGCCGCTCGTACAATCAAAAGCTTAGGGAAACTCTCGCAGGCATTTCTGCCTATCGGAAGCTGTAGCCCTGTCGCCCTGAACAAGAAAAATCTTTCAGTGCATTGACTCTTTGGCTCATCCTCGAGGCGCTTCGGCAGTGACAAAGGACCTCAAGCAGACTCCCGGCTCACGGCAAACCTCTCGTACCAATGGCAGCAGTAGACCTTCTCTTTCATTTATGCGCAGCAGGGCAAGACGTTTCAATGATTCAAGACATGTCAGCGATCTGGTTGAGAAGTTGCTGGTTTGTGGTGCTCAAGCAGTCGTAGGTCAGCAGTGATGCGGTCGGCTCTGCAGCAGCAGCAGCAGCAGCAGCAGCCAGCATCAAAGACTGTATCGGCAACAGCTGTTGATGGCTCAGTTGCGCAAGGAGGAATGCGTGACCGTGCAATGCCAAGGGAGGGCTAAGACCAAGCCAAGAACGGACCCAGGACCCAGAAGAGAACGTTTGGCTGTGTGGCAGCTCCTTGCTGTCAGGTGGCTGAGTGGCGGTGTCGGTGCCACTCCGTTCGGAGGGTGAACTTCTGCCTCGTGTAATGCAAATAATTGCAAAAACTACTCCGACCCACCAGGTTTTCCAATCCATCCCGCGCTGAACGCGCCTTGCTGGACACTTGCACGAACTTGCCGCCGCGCTCCACCTGCAACTTCGTGCAAGGTCTGCAAACGAGACTCACAGCAGCCTGTCGACTGTGATCTGTCGTGAAGAGTTCTCACTGCCACTCAAACAAGCATTGCATAGCAGAGTGCGCTTCGGGAGCTTCCCTTCTTTGCACACTTTGGTGCTGAGTCTAGCACCTCTAGGTGCCATGATGCGGCAGTCGCGTTCCAAGTGCGGCAGGCTACTCTTGTGTGAGGCCCGACTAAGTGCTCCCACCTGACGGCTCAAGCTCTGCAGCAGCTCGGCCTGCTGCGAGAACTGCCTTGATACGAAAGTTGATGCTGACAGTCCAGTCGAATCGGTACAGATGTTGAAGGCCCCACGAATGTGAGCCAAGCCGCCCTGCAATGAAATTCCGTAATTTTTGAATTTCTTGATTCATGGCGGCCTGATCCCACATCTCCCGCGTGTCCGCAGGATGTGGGTCTGATGACCATTCAATCACCATGGCTTCTTCACGAATCATGATCTACCCCTCGCGGCCCAAGCTTTGAGCCAGATGTCTGCAAAGCACTCATCCGATGCAAGGATACTAAGAAGCAGATACGAGTACCAAAAAAGCAACGGGCCAGGAGGTTTGAGGCATTTTGGGCCATCTTAGAGTTGTCCCTCCCGTCCATGCCGTCCCGTCCCTGCCTTTCCGTCTCCTGCAGGCCACAGGGGGTTGACTGAAGGCAGCACCAGTTTCGTGGAAACGAGGACTCGCTCAAAGCCTGCGAGCACAGCCGAGAAAGATGAGCAAAGGCCAGCTCAGCTGCTCAAAAGGCTTAGATGTTCTCGTTTCTGCAATCTCAAACTCGCCGAGCACGGTTTGGGGCCCAGTTCGACCAGCCGCAATGTCGCTGTCGCACGGCCGCTGCTGCATGTCAGGTTCATGCCGTGATGACATGCAGTCGCGCATGGAGCGGACTGCATACTGCTGCTGCTTCCGTCTCCATCAACAGGCATTACTGGCCGTTTCTTGAATCGTTCTTTCTGCTACTTCTCACAGCTTCTCTCGATTCTGATGCGAACTCTTAGTTTCGAGACATACTTGAATGGCCTGAATGAAAAGCCAAACTGCTCAAGTCTGGCTTGCGTGCAATTGGCAGCCATCTGCGACTCGAAAAATCCTTGTGTCAGCATGGAGCCTAGATCTTTGTTGGCATGCAGCAACCCGACCGCACCTTCCAGCACAGCCATGGACACAGCGCCTGCACAAACAGACTTCTGTGTTTGATCAACACGGATCCAAAAGCCAGGTCTGATGGACTGCCTAGATAGCATGCCATGTGCAATGCAAGCACCAAGCGTAAACATGTTTCATTCATTTCCTCTCATTTCCTGCAGTGATGCACCGATGCTGTTCGGGATTTCCAGTTTCGCGCTGCTTCTGCTTTCATGTGGGTCGCTCTGTGGCGGGCTTGTGTCGTTGATTTCCATCTTCCCAGGATGACTTGATTGTCCTGATTGCTGGACAGTGGACAAACCTTTGGAGTATGTACGGAGTTTAACCAAGTTTAGTCACCGGAGAAAGTGGGCCGAGTTGCCGCGTGCTCAAGACGCTAAGCTGCTGCAAATTACAGCCCGTATCAGAGAGAAAGAGAGAGACAAAGAGAGACAGAGAGAATGAATGAATGAATGAATGACGAAAAAGTTAACTCAGGGAGCCTGACATTATCGTCGGTGCCAATGAGACTGATTTCCCAGGTGCCTGGAATCTCCCCGTTCACGGCAATGTGAGCAATGTCGTCCAAAGCTTCGCCCACCTTTGTTTCAGAGCGGTCAGGTAAAACGAGCTTAACACTTGGCTGACACTTACATCTGATGCACCTGCTCGTCGAAGCGGGCGACGACTGCTTGGCATTGGCCTCGGCAGCATCGCCAGACTGCTTTGCTCTGATTCTTGTGGCACGGCATGCTTCGGACTTGTAAGGCATGTCCGAACCGTTGCGAAACGCATGGACATTATCTTCTGCGTGTCCTCAAGACGTTCAGAGGTGATCCATCCTATGATGCGCACGGGCAATGATAGGTTAAGGCAGTTTATGTCAAGGCGAAATGGACATCTTTAAGCGCCCATGCAGTCACTACTCTGATTTCAATTTACACATCTCTACACTATTGGCTGTTCTGAGTTGCTGTGCTGCGCAAGTCTGCTTGCGGCTGCGCAGGACGACAGGTCACAGCTGATCGCAGATGCGGTCAAAGCTACTCATTCGAAGTCGCCATCAGAATATTGCTAGGTCATCAGTTCTTCATGGACAGCGGCAACTGGTCCTTCAACTCCTACAACCAGATCGCTAGCATCTGCTGCCTGGTATCTCTCACGGCTTCAGAACGAGGATACCAGCATCGCATCAGATTATCTCCCATGAATTCAGTTACTTCGCTCCTGCTGCGAAGGTGCTACGTGTCTCCGCGAGCTCCTCCGCCCGGCGACTGTCCTGCGGTGTAGATCCTACGGTTTGGCCCTAAGGGCGGAGATCTGCCTGGGTCTGAGCAGCCGTCCCGTCCTCTGCGTCAACTTCTTCGTCCCCGGCCCCTGTGGTCAAAGTCAAGGTCAAGAAGCTTAACTGTAGCACACTGTAGCACCCATGCCCTCCCAAGAAAACATGTGACTACGGAAATCCTGAAACAAAATGACATAGCCACGTCCAGCCTGCAGGCTGCTCCTCCCCAAAGTTGAGTTTCAGTTCCTGGCAATCATGTGCTGAAGAGTCCAATCGCATGTTGCTAGTCGTTCGAACAAGGTAGCCAAGTAGCGACCAGCTACTTCTTGCCACCAACAGTGCGGCAACAACAGAGTGGTTCCTACGTTTAGAGTAGACGGACTGGGCTCGTGAGGCGCGAGCTATATGAGGTGCTATCAGGGTGGCCACACTGTGAGGCTCCTTCCATCTCGTGGCTGGTCTCGAAATCAGTCCGTTCCCGAATTTGGCGAAATTCGAGATAGTGCTCCCACACGCTCCCACCACAGTGCCGTGTGCCAAAATCGCGTGCCCGCCAGAGTCATGCCCTTCCCTCCCCCGAGGTTGTGCTCTCTCCACAGTTCCGTGGTGATATTGGGAGCCTGCGCGGGTGTTCCCTGAATAAATGCACTTCAGCCAAAGCACTCCCAAGCGCTCGCCAGCACGCTGCGCTGCGCAGCGCTCCACACAGCTTCGTAGAGAGGACAGTGCATCTGGACCTCATCAAAACATTGAGGGCAAAGGTTCAACACTTCCTGTGCGCTCCCGCGACAGGGACCACTCAGAAAGTGATTGGAACGGTTGCAGTGAACCTTTCACACCAGGTTGATTCGAGGGTTACAGTAGCTCGCTCCACTCCAAAAAAAAGGTAAAAGTACCTGCCTTGCCGGGGATTCTCGACATGTACGTAGGATGCTAGTGACAGATGGTCGTCTCTGACGTGATTTGCCCCATAGTGGATCGCACCAGCAAGCCTGAGAACAGCACATACGCCCTGACTGGGGCAGAAGATGCCACAGGCTCCTGTTCGTCAAGGTGTCTGGCGCTTTGCACGGCAAGTCTTTTTTTTGACTGGAAACTCAGCAAAGCCGTACAGACCGAGGCCCTACGACAAATCCACGACAACCGAAACCAAGCGGCCTCCCGACCATGCGGCTTCACAGCAAGTCTCTGTCGACAGTCCAGCTTCCGTTCCGTGTTACTTGTGATCATGCATGGACCACCCACTGTAACCCTGCATGGACCACCATAGCGCCTTACTGTCTCTGACGCAAGACCGCCCGTTTGTCGCTCTCTAATACCAGCAAGAGCATAATGCGTGCCGCAACATTCGTCCGACTCACTGGGTATGACGGTTGCCTACAGACTCGCATTCTTGTGGGAAACGGTCCTGACCACGTCGCCAGCCAGTCGAGACTGTCTCCGTGGCCAATGGGCTCCATGAGGCTCCTGGCTTTTTTTGGTCCAAGATTACAGGCTGGGCTCGGCTTTTTGCTCGGCTGTTGTTGGTCTCTTTCCCGCTGGTTGTAGACTTTAGCAGGTTTCCCGAGGTCTCAGCACCCTCCGCCTTTTTCCGACCGGGCTGTGTTTGTCCGACCTGCCTGACCTCGACCCCCGTCCTCTCCACGCCGCGTTCGTGCAGAAACCTGTCTGGTTCTTTGCCTGGCGGCACAAGCCGCGTCCCTGTCAAGGTTTCCCGCCCCCCACCCCCCGCCCCGCCGCCGCCTGCCAGAGATTGTCCACTCCTGTGTTGCGGTCCCCCTCCCACCTGTCCGGGCCAGGCAGGGAAGGAAACCAATCCCCTATTGTACCCCTTTATTTTGGTGCTCGATGTCCTGGCCCCCTGCCTTGCCTGGTTTTTCGGATGCATTACAGACCCCAGCATGCTGCACTCAAGGCAGTTTTTCAGGCTCATGCTCCCCGTACCGTACAGGCCAACCTCTCAGGAAATTCACAGGTGACTGCCTTAAAGCATCTGCTCTGGACCTCCTGCAGGGACTCAGAATCCTGCATCCGAAACCCCAGCTGAAGATGAGTGCACCACAGAGCTCCTGCGAAATGCCGCCACTTGCTGGCCGAACTGTCGATGCAAGTCCCCTGTGATGACGCAAGGCGGCGTTGTGAAAAATCGATTCTGTTTTAATCCACAGTGTTCCAATGGCTCAACAAGGTCGGCCCCCAGCGCCCAGAGCTGCATGGCTTAATGTTGCCTAACCGCCCCAATTTATGAACTGGCATCGAGTAAGCTCTTCAAGGCTGTGCTGGGGCGTTCTAGCACGTCTTACACAGAGTCCACTCCAAGGGCCAAGCAGCCTCCCAAGGCCTTACAGCACCTCCGAGCCAAAACCTCCCAGCTCCTGCAGGCCTGCAAATAGGTCTCTCGGGTCCTTCAGAGCCTGAAAGAACCTGGTGGCATGCCGTCGTGACTGGTGGCGATGGTGAGCGCAGTGGCAGTTGCATCCTCGTCGTCACAATAGTGGTGGCAAGCTTGTGCTTTGCTTGGGGCGGCAGTGCCGGTGGTAGCAAGGGTGGAACGTCGTCGGCAGCAGGCTCCTGAGCTTCCTGTGCTGCGTATCCGAAGGAGAACTGCTAAACTCTGTGTCTGGCGAAAGCTTAAATCCCTGAAACTCGCATACGCTTGAACAAGCAGCTTGCGCATCAGAAAAAGGATAGTCCAGGCTGAGCTGCTTCACTCCTTATACTCGAAATGCAAGAGGTTTCACATAAGGAATCCCAGGCGTTGCCTAGATGTGTGCAGCTCTGGGATGCGAAGCCGGCGATCAGTGCCTGTCAAAGGACGAGTCGAGAACTGTTGCTTTGAGGCGTGTTGCCCACCGGCTTCGCTGACCAGGTCGCGCTACACAAAAGCACACAGGACAGTCTGGTCACAGGTGCAAGTCCTGGGGCTCTCCGACCAAGCAAAACTCTAGCTGCATGTAAGCCACGATGACTGGACTGGAGTGTTTTCTTTGCGAATCCTCCGCGGTGCCGTGGAGCTTTCACTAGGCTTGTCCGAGACCCTCATGCGCGCTTGGCGCTTGGCTTGGAAGAAAAGGAAGATGATGCGATTTTGATCCGGATGCTAGCAACAGCGCCGTGGCTCCAATGCATTTTTCATGAGGTTCGGCTTCTCCCGCCTCGAAATCGTGTTTCGAATCTGCAGCCTGTATGGTTGATGTGGGCAGACTTGTCTGTGGGGACAACCATCCTCAGTCGCCCCCGTGCTGTTGTTTGCACGTAAATGTCAAGCCAAGCACATGCCTGGAATCGTCCCGGCATCGTCTTGATACCTGCGGGCTTTCAAATTGTGCTCTTCGGTCGACTCGAAAAGGCTGGACGCATCCAAGCTGCCGCCAAAGTGTTCGGTGCCTTCCTGCGGAACCCACGTCTTCGCAAACCTTGGTGGAACCCCCAGAGGTTTGCTTGGAAGAGGGATGTCTTCCGTTGCAGGACACGCAATCCAGACCGGAAAGTCCATTGGGCGTGTTAAGCGATCCCCTGCAAAGCTGCCCCAATGGTGGAGCAAGGTGGCAGCTGCCCATATCTGCCCATAAAAAGCAAAGGCTTCTATTTTCTATATTTCCTTCGAAATAGTTCCTTCTAGTCAACAAGTAACTCAAGTATTCCTCAAGCTCTGCCGGTCACTTCAAGAGGCCCTGTGAGGAAACCCTTAAAAATAATTCTTGATGCAAAGCCTGAGAGACCCAATGAGGCCTTCCAAAACGCCTCTCCCTAAGGTGCCAAGACAGAAGCAAAACACGCTGCACTTTCTCATTGCTTTGGGTTTGTCTTGTTGCTGGATACAGTATATACTCCGAACGAGAGAAATCGAGCCCTGTCAGGTGGATCTCCTTGCAATCATGTATGATCCGGCCCCGCCCCCTCTCCCCCCAACAGGCCCTCGATCCTCGCGACAGTTCGGATTGCCACTGCGAAGCAGAACCACCGCGCAAACCACAGCTGGGCAGGTGAGGGGCAGCGGCACAGACAAGGCCAACCAAGATGACCACAGCCCACGGGGTGGAGGAATGCTATGAGTTGGGGAGGCATCACTATGCTGCTCGTGCGATAAGCGAGTACAAGATCATGTTTGGATATCTTGCAACATCACATTCTGACATGACTCCGATAACGTTTCGAGGAATACGTACTCTCGATGGCAAGGCTTTCCAAGGACCCCCACAGGCCGCTGTGCCGGCGGGAAGCCCCAAACATGCAACGACTATATTACAGGAATGAGCAGCTTCAGCAAACCTGGCTCGTTCGTTGACATTGCCACTGGGATGTTTCAAAATGCGGGGCAGACATTGCGCCTACATGCCTTCCGAGTGATATGCAGATCTACAGCGTGGATCAGGTATCGGCAAACCAGGGCAGCAGTAACATCACTCTGCATGGAACTGTCAGACTATCGTGCGGCTACCTTCATTGTGGCAGAGAGCGCGGAGCCCAGCTTGCCCAAAGTGGCCGCTGCAGAGCCAGCTCCAGAGCGCTGGAAGAGTGCTGTCACCGCTTGCACCTTTCCAATCTGGTTGGGCCGGCAAACAGAATCTTCAACCCAGAAGTTTCAATTTCAGGTGTCGTCCTGTATGACAACTGTGAGATATGTCACCTTCGCAAGCAAACGAGACTCTTCATGCTTCGCCGTTCCGCATGGCTGAGCTTGCGTGAACATGCTTCAGTCAGAACTTCGCCGCCTAGCCAATCGGTCTGACACGTGCCCCCCAAGAGTCGCACAGTTGAGGAAGCTAGACGATACACTGCTTCCAGCATTCTCTCGACTCTCTACACGAACATGCAACTCACAGCCTATCCACTACAAACCCGCTACTGGCAAGGTTCAGGTACCCAACGAAGACATGCTTCGTACAAACATCGCTAGTAACCGCTAGTAGCACCGCAACCCGACAGTTGAGATCAGTTCATCCGATACTTTAACTCCTGCTTCTTCTGTGCACCCTCGAGTGTTACCCTTGCGCTTGAAACGATCACCTTCATGATCCGTCAAGTGCTGTCCGCAAAAGCACCGCCCAGAATCAGAATCGACACCCATAGCTGATCCCACCTTCTGCTTCAATTGCGAAGACGCCGACGTTTCCCTTCCGCTGCAAGATTGAACTAAGCGGCTACAGAGCTAGTGAATTTCTGTGAATATATCTGGACATGCCCAACATCTGTCCTGACTACACCTGTAGTCTCCTCCATGTTCGAGCAAACGAGGGCGCGTGAATGTGACAGTGACATACAGAGACAATGCATCTCCTCCCGCCCAGCCGCCCAGCCGCCCAGCCGCCCAGCCTGCCATCTGCCAAACGCTTGAGCGCAGCAGCCAACAGCGGTGGCAGCGCGCCGCCTGCAAAGTGGGCTTCTCCAGCGGCCTTGAGCTTGGGCTCTACGCTTCTCTGGGAGCGATGACTTCAGACTTCCCGACTCCTCCACATCCTCCACTGCCCGGCCTCCGCTAGAAGAGCAAAGTCCTCGAGATGTGGGCGCAGATGAGTGCACCAATTGTGCAAAGGCTACCACACTGAGGCTGAGAAGGAGCGTCTGGGATGAGTTCCAAGTTGCGACAATCAAAAGGGCCCGTGACCCAAAGGTGCTACAGCTATAGCACGCAGGTGAGGGTTTTGTTGTGATGAAACCTCCAAGCCCAGGTCAAAGCGTTGGTCGCAGTCTGTAGCTCTGAAGTGCAGATCATTCGAAGCCATGCTTCGATATGCCAGCATGAACTTTCAGCAGATCGAAGCGGAGCCCAATGGAGAATTAGCTGACCGAGCAGCCGGAAGCCAAGACAACGGTGCCCTCAAAGGTCTTTGCCGCCGACACCAACCGAGCCAAGCAGCCTTGCGGGAAGAATAGCAAATAGACAAGCTAGAACACGAACAAATGTGAGCACGGGTGCACTAATGCCCTTAATATAGTTTTCGCACATCATCAAACTCTGACCACATATCAAGGACCCTGCAGGAAGCCATTTCTGTGGTGTCGGCAAGTCGGCAAGAGCAAGAACACCGAGCCTTCGATCGTGTCACCACCAAACCTGGGCTAAGTTAAGCAGCGCCAGAACAAGGGAATCGGCTCCAGCTGGACAGCGATGTCGGGCGACCGCTACGGTTCTACAAGCAGTTGTATGGAAAACCTACGGGTGCTCCCCCGGTTCCCGGTCTCTCTGTGAGTAGACAAGAAGAGTCAACCGCCGCTCAGTCACGCGGCAGGGCTCTCAAGAATGTGACGGAGCAGCGCCTCGGTGCAAATTCTTCCCCTAGCAGACCGCGGCATTGGAATTACGCCGTTACGCACTCGCAACTCGGACTCGCCAGACGAGGTCTCTCGGTTCGCATGTCTGGAATCAATTTCTGGTGCAACCCTGCATTTTCGAAACCTTTTCCTATCATATCTACCACGCGAAAACTGAAGCTCAACTGGTTTTCGTGTGACCAGT